AAATTTTACATTACCATACACGGATTGTTAATAATACCGTGTGCGTTCTGTTTAATTTCAGGAATGTGCGCTTGCCGTCTTCACCATCATTCTATGTATATTTGGATACAGTCACTGGGGTGTTGCAGGGGTTTTAAAGTTAAAAATAAGAGAAATAAGAACAAATCCATCTAATTTATATCTACTGTAACTTGCTATCGCAGTGTGCAAATTGTTCATGTTTTACACAGTAGTAACTCTTAATTCAAAACAGCGAATGCTTTTTGAACACTTTACATACATACTAGATATATATGTCTTGTATCTGTCATATGTCATGGATATGCCTGGATGTAAGAATTCATCTATTCAACTACAGAAGCCAAAATGGAATTTCTCCCCACGCTACTTCCCACAGGTGAGGAAAAATCCTTGCAAGGCTTGTTTTTTATAAGTAGAGCTGAAGCTGTAATCCGAGTCGATGTGCTCCGAATTCTGTGTTCTTTCCATTCAAAGAGATAATGCATATAAAATACTAGTAAAACCAGTGGTATGCAGTAAGCACTCAAATGTTGGCTGTAGTTTCAGTTTTACTTCTACTTAATTTTCAAATTAAGAGAAGTAGCTGATGAATTAGTGACTACTTCACACATACTCTCCTCGCTATAGTAAGCACAGGATGTATGGGAGGTGTCTGAGATGGTCGGAAGGTGCAGGAGGTTATTTTAATACGCACCAAGGATGGTGCAGAGGAAGCAGGCTGGGAGGACAGACGTAAACTTTAATATGTCAGGGTAGGCACGCCGACCTTCCAGGCCACACTGACCCTAAAGGTCATGGAGCACCTTGCCCTTCCAGGTGTTGGAGAGGAGTGTCCCCTCCATGTGGTAAGCGTGGCCACCACCATTGGTCAGGCACACCTGCCTGACGAGCGCTCTGGCCAGGGCCACTACGTCCCCAGACAGGGGGCCTGGCCCACCTCCCCGGAACAACACAAGTCCTGTCCTCCCTTTTTGGAGCAGCCTCTGCTTTCCCACCTCTGGGAAGAAGCTTGCCACTTGCTGTCTCCTGAGGTTGTTCATTCCGTCAGAAGCAGCCTGGATTTCTGGAAAGTTCTCTGTGGCACCCCACATTGTACTTGCATTTAAAAGTAACTTTGCCAGAGTATAATCTCACTGAGTCCAGCTTCCAGTCCCAAGTGGCGTGGTTGGTTGCTGTTCCAGAAGGAAGAGTTTCTATACTAGTGAAGGTTCATCGGCTCTATGAGCCAATACGGGCAATTCAGGCTGAAGTTAACTTTTTCCAGCAAAGGGCTCAGGAAACAGAAGTCTCTTTTTCGTCCAGAAATGAATCCTCTGTGTGAGGATTGTGTAACCGAATGCAGGCCCGGCTGCTTGCCGCTAGGAAAGCCAATACTCTGGAGGCAGGTGCCAATGTAAAAGGAAAGGGGTTTATTTTCACTGCCGGCCACCTGGAAGATGGGGACTCTTGGCTCACAGCCCATCCCCCACCCTCTCAGTGCAGGCAGAGGCTTTTATAAGGAGGGCAAGGGGAACAGAACAAAGCGATCAAGGGAGGGAGTTGAAAAGTTCTCTACCTGCAGACAAGCACAATCCATTCCAATAAAGGCAAGTGACTGTCCGGTGTGCGTCACCCTGGTTTAGTCATCCTGGCTTGTCATTTTGGCTTTACATCATCCAGGCTCTACAGTTGAAGGTCAGCAAATCCCTCAGAGCTGGGATGCTTGAAGGTCAGAGTCTGTATCTTTTGAAGTCAGTTCCTGGGATTCTTATAGAAACAGGCTGTTCATTTACAAGCTACACATTAGTCAGAATCTGCACTTACAGAAACAGTGTGGAAAGAATGTTGAGTGGGTTCCAATTTCCCACAATTACAATTTTCCACTATTACAGATCCCCCTTCCAATCTCTCTTCTATGTCTATGGAAGTTTTGGCTAAAGCCAAAACATTTAAGAAAATTAGAAAAATTCTGGATGCAGTGTAGTTCATAGGTGAAAAATAAAATTTTAGAGACAATCCACTGAATTAGAGTTTAATATTTATAACTGTGTATAATGGATTCTATTGAAACATTTTTCCCCTAAAATCGCCCTCATTTTTTATCAAAGAGCCAAATCAAGACCAATTCATTTCCTGCATTAAGTCCATTTCAATTTGACCTGATTATTTGCATGAACTCAATAGGAATAGCAACTGATTGTGTAGGCTTTCCTATATATACTTTATTGGGATGTTATAAGGAATTTGTAGATTGAGCTTTCATTAGCCTCTCGGGGCAAAGAAACCAAGCTGCACAGTAGCCATAAAGCTTTGCCTGCAGTACCTATACGTTTGGGTAAACTCAAGTTCTGGAGGTCCTCAAAATGCCTTGAGGTTCTTCCCTGCCATCTCCCAGGAAAGCAACCTTTGTTCCTTACCTGAAAGGTGCCATGTACCTTCTGAATAAGCCAGGGGCCAGGCCATGTCTCCCAGGGGCTTTTATTGACTCCAAAGTAAGTCTTTATACCTTGAAGCTTTTTGCTAACATTCAGAGTCTAGGCAGGTCTCCTGCAGACATGACCTTTTGGTCAAAGTCTTGGTTAATAAATCCACAATTGGAAACTGGAAGAGATCAGATTTCTATTAGATTCATGCAAATAAATGTATTGCTATGAAAAATAATATACTCATTAAGAGTTTCCAAATTCTGGACAGATCAGGTGGAGAGAAAAATATAAATGCTTCAATATTGTTACAATTTACCTAATTGGTATATGAAAACAAGTTTTTTTTTTTATAAATCAACAAGCATCACTTAATTTTACAAAATTTGTCGGTGAATAAATGATGGTCAAATTTCTAGAACTTGTAAGAAGCACTTCTTAGAATTCCAGAATGCCTGAAGCCTCTCTGCCCCAGAAATGATGCAAAATGTTGTTTAAAATGGCTTGGAATTTAGCTTTTTGATATAGGAAGCCTGGCTTGCTCCTTCCAGACTGTCCTGGATTTGCAGGAGGTTGCTATTTACAATGAAAACTTTGGAAGCACAGAAATGTGCCTGTGCCCAAGGGAGGAAGGCAGCGGTGGGCACAGGCCCTGTGCTCTCTGTGTGAATGACAAGACCTGGTTTATTTGTTGAAATATCCTGAGTTGGTTTTCCCTGTTTTGTCTGCAGTGTCCTTGAAGGCTGTGCTTTTGGATCCTGGCTTTGTTTTGTAAGCTGTTTCATGGCGCTTGTGCCTGCAGCCTGTTTATTTGACCATGCCAGCCGGCCCGGGCGCGAGCTCATCACATTCACTGTGTTGGTAGTGGGCCCTGGAACACCCCCACCCACGCCCCATCTGTGTACCTAGTTCTGTAAGCCCTTTAAGCCCAGAAGTCTAAGCTTATTTGACCTGGTTTGAAAAGGTGTGTCTATATAAATTTTTAACATTCTTATATGTTCCCATGAGTTTCTAAATTTAACTTCCACTGGCTAGAGTATTTTTTAGCAGGCATTCTGAGGCTCTACATCGGTGTGCAGTATTTGTGCCTGGGGGGTCCAGAGACATTTGGGGTCCTGGAGAGCCTATGCCAGCGTGTCTCATGATTCTGCGACTCGCCGAAAATGTAAGCTATCTGCTTTCCAGGTGTCTGGCTGGAATTTAAACTTTGGCTTCTCCCACTTGGCCCCTTGGCCCGTCCAGGTCCTACCCACACGGCCGCAGAGGTCCCTGAGCCCTCACAGGGGTCGTGCTTGGGGCTCCTGTGGGCCTCTCTCCCCACAAACTCAGAGCCTCTTTTCATTTGAAAATTTTTGCTGCTGATCACATCTGAAAAACAAAAAAATCCAAAGGGTACATTTGATTTTTTTTAGTAGTAAGCTTACAGTGCTAAAAAAGTATTTCCAGAAACATACAGTTTTGAGATCTCTTTGTAAGTAGTGCATGAATACATATACTTCGTGGGAAAAGGTAGGCAACCCCGAAGTATAATGGGTAAAACACTCTTCCGTAGAAGTTAACTGGCTGGACCGGAGGGCACGCACCAAAACTTGGCAGATGCCGACGAATAGGCCAAGTCGGCCTTCGGCCTTCAGCAGTGCCTAATGTCGACACCAGTCCCTTTCAGGTCTCGCCTTCATAAGTCGTTACCACTTTGACGGGGGGGGGGGTGGGGGTGGCAGAAGGCATTTCATGCTAATTTGAACTTCTCTTTTTATAATGGAGTTGATATCTCTTTGTATTTTATTGCTTGGCCCTTTTCTGAGACAGAAACCAGCCATGTTGGACTTCAGAGCAGTAACCTGCTTCTGCCTGGACGCTCCGGGCAGGGTGCAGGCCGGGGTATCCGGCTCACTGTGCTGTGAGTGCGACCTTGGCCGGGAAAAGTGCTGACCTCGGGTCGTCAGGCTCCCCGAGCCCAGCGCCAGGGCGCCGCGCTCCTCTCGCATGTTTGGTCACAGATCATCCACCTACTTGGGCCGAGGGCGCAGATGCTGGTGCACCCGACGCACCTGCCTCCACGCTACTGTGGGGCTCATCCCGTACCTGCAGGTCCCATTCCCCAGCGCCCCGCCGCCCAGACACTAGAAGCCGCTTGGCTAATCCGGGGGACTCTCTGCGCCGCGTGACCACCGGGTCTCAGCCCGGCCCGTCTGGGGCGCTGCACAGCCGGATACTTGGGGCCACAGCGTCGCCCGCGGATGCAGCGAGGCCCCTGCGCGTGGGTGGACCTCGCTCCAAGGACACAGCGGTCACCAGCCTGCGGCGTCGCCAGTCACAGCGAGCGGGCCGCCTACGGGTACCTTCCTGTGACCGTATCTCCAGCCCCCGGCGCCCCCGCCCCCCTGACGACTGTGGGCATGCGCACGGGCCCGCTTAGCGTCCTGCGGCCGTTGCCATGGGTACCGGAGCCCCAGCGCCCCGCCCCCAGCGCCAGCGCCAGCGCCCCGCGGACGAGGCCTCGCCCCAGGCCGGGTGAGGGGGTCGGCAGGGATGGAGGCGGAGAGCCGGTGGGGGTGGGGCCTCTTCCTGGGTGGCCCGGGTGGGGCGGGGCCTGGCCGCGGGGCGGGGTCCCCCTGTGCGGGCCGAGGGGCCTGGCCGGGGATTGGCCGGGTTTGGTTTGGGTCTGGGTCGGTGTCCTTGCTGCGCAGGGTCGGTGACGAGGGATGTGGGCCTTGTTGGGGGTAGGGACCCTGTCCCGAGTGGAGGTGGGGACCCGCGGTGGGTCGGAAGCGTGGCGGAGTAGGGGGCGCAGGGCGGGTCCGGGTCCGGGAGGGTGATGTGGCCCCGCCCGCCCGTCCCCGCCCCCCTCGCGGCGTCCCAGCCCCGTTGGAGCCGCCGCCCCAGCTTCCGCGCGCTGCGCCCAGCCGGACAGGGGCGCACGGACGCGCGGACGCCGGAACCCGGCCGGAGCATGTGGAAGCTGGGACGCGGCCGGGTGCTTTTGGACGAGCTCCCAGAGGAGGAGGACGGTCTGGCTGGGGGTCCGCCGCCGTCCGCCGACGCACAGGTGAGGGGCGCGCAGGTGGGGGCCGCGCAGGTGAGGCCAGGGCCACGCAGACGGTGGCGCGCAGGTGAGGTTGCGCAGGGGCGGCGCAGAGATGGGGGTGCAACGTAACGGTGCGCAGGTGCGGCCTGGGCCCTGCGGCCCGTTAGTCTTCCGTGTTGTCCACCCCCACTCGAGATCAGGAACACGGGGCAGGGGAGGGGGTACCTGCGACGCTCGCGCGTGGCCGTGGCCTTGAGGCTGCGGTGGACGCTGCGCGGGCCCTGGCAGGTTGCCCACCCGGAGCGAAACAGCGGGCAAGGCCCGAGTCGCTGCGAGCTGCGCGCGCCCGCCCGCGGGACCAGAAAGCTCTTGGCCACCACAGCAGCGTGCCAAGTGGACGCGACGCTTGTTTGGATAACAGCTATTTCCCTTTCTTAAACCTTTGATTGTCTGGAGGAAGAAGGCAGATGACCTTTATACAGAAATGGAGACACTGGCTCTGCAGGTTTGGAGACATGCTTGGAATGCTCAGAATTTGTTCGTTAAAGAGGACCTCAGGTGGATCCCGTGTGCGGTGCCTACGTGCTCCCCCCTTTTTTCCGATGCGCATTCGCATGTTCATTCCCTTTCCTGGGCCCGGGATTCGGGTCAGAAAATCAGCGCTGTCTTTTGAAGGTGTTCAGAAAGTTACTTTTTTGCCAAATGTTTGGGACCTGCTGATGTGCTAGGAGCTTTTAGGAAGTGAGAGACGATCCGTGTCCTTGGGACTTGTGAGGGCTTCGCGGGTGGTTAACCGGCTCCCGTGATGGAGCCTTGAAACACGCTTCCTGCCTGACCTTCTCTCCGAAGTTACTCTGTGAGAGTAGGAGTGCTGACCGCAGTTTTTAATCTTTTAAATCTCAAAACGTAATGATGGGCATTTATATGAGGTTACAGGGTAATTTAATACTCTAAGTAATTATATTGATTACAGGTAAGCAATATTATTCTTGGATGAACTCTTTTAAAAAAATTTAAGTTGATTTTCCTGTGTTCTGCTTCTCTTTCTCCTGATGAAGCCTAAAAAACCTGTGTTTTTTCCCTCTTAATTTTTATTTTGAAAATTTTCTAACATAAGGAAACGTTGGAAGAATAAGCTATTGAACAGCCAAATGTACTCCATCTAGATCTGACCATTAGTAACACATTCATGAAAGGTTTTTTCTGGTCTTCTGGTTTACAGAATTGTCTATACCCTTTTGCTGTGTCTTTTTGTGTGTGTCTTACAGATTACTTTTTAGGTGCCCGGAACTTTCCACTTAGGTGGAAAACACAGAGTTCCCACACACCCTCTGCCCCCACAGGCACAGCCTCCCCCCATCGCCACCCCATCTGCACACCCCCCAGGACAGCCCCTCATTTCCCTTAGAGTCATTCTGACAAATGTAATATGAAATGTATCCAAGATTATCACGTCACAGAGTTTCACTGCCCTAAAAACTTCCCTGTTCCACTTATTCATCCCTTCCCCACCCCCGATCTGTCACTGTCCCCACACTCTCGCCTTTTCCAGAATGTCACAGGCTTGGAGTCACACAGCGTGTGGCCTTTTCAGGAACATTGGCTCCTTCACTCAGTCACATGCATGTCAGGTCCCCCACGGGTCTTCCCGGCTTGAGAGCACAACTGTTCTTAGTGCTGACACTGTCCCACTGTCTACAGGGGCCGAGGTTTGTTTGTCCATCTCCCACTGAAGGGTGTCCCGGGTGCTTTCGAGTTTCTGCCGTTCTGGGGGAAGCTGCTGTGCACACCCACGTGTGGGTCTTTGTGTGGACGTCGGTCTGTAACACAGATGCACACCAAGGAGCGTGCTTGCTGGGCTGTGACCGGAGCAGGTTGTTTGTGAGAACGTCCAGTGTCTTCCCAGCCGGCCGCCCGTCTGTGCTCCCGCCGGGACCGAGTGCGAGTCCTGCTGCTCCACATCCTCGCTGCCCAGGGTGTGGTCAGGTGTTGGTCATCCCCATGGGTGTGTTGTGGCCTTGTTGTGGTTTTCATTTGCGTTTCCCTGGTGACAGATGAGGCTGGACATCTTTTCATGTGCTCACATGACATCTGTGTATTCTCTGGCCAGGTGCCTGGGAAGATCTTTTGTCCCACTTTTTTAACAAGTTGTTCTGTTTTCTTGTTGAGTTTTAAGGGCTCTTCTAATGTTTTGGATACAAGTGCTCTATCAGGTGCGTCTGCTCCAAATGTCCTCTCCTGGGGTGGTTTTCTTCGTCTCTCACCGGCCTTGGAGCAGAAGGTTTCAGCTTCAGGAAGTCCTGATTGTCAGTTGCTTCTCCTGGGAAGCGGGTCTTCATCGTTGTCTGAGCCATCTGGATGTCCTCTTGTCTTCTAGGCGCGGGACCGGCCGGCTGGCTTTCACGCTGCTTTACTGAGGGTATCTGTGGTTTAATGTGCTGAAACGACTTTTCCATGGAAAACAGACTTTTAAAAATTATTGTGACAGGTTAGTCATGCTCTGAATTTAGTTAATTCCTTTGAGAGGATTGGTCTTGATCTAAAAGCCGGTTTCTGTTAGAAATAAATGTGACAGTTCATGACAAGTCGACCATAAAACCTCTTCCCGCGGAGTTTTATGTGACTTGGAAGAAGGACGAACTCACTGAGTGTGTCGTGTTCAGTGTCTCATTGGAAGGTGCCCCCGGTTCTCATCCTCGACGTCCAGCGCCCCCAGATCGGTTGGCCCGCCCCGCACTGCAGGAGACACACAGGCCGGGGGTGCCCTTGGCCTTGTTCTATGAAGTGTTCAGTTTGCATTCAGATCTGGTGTGCACGACTTTCTTGAAAATTAGGTCACACGGCTATAATCTGTGTTGTTTTTAAAAAGAGAAAAATAGCTAATGTTAGGTTCTAATAACTTTGAGATGCATTCACAGTCGTTACTGGGGTTGAGGATGTTCCTGAAACGTGACAGTTTTGACACTGCAGGGAGTGAATTTCTGGGAGCATCTCCTCAGGCTGTTGAACTCCTTTTTGACATGAGTTCACATCTGTGTCGTATTACTGTGAACGGTGAGGTTCGTGAGGTGACACAGTCGTTACAATTATTTAGCAGTGCAGAGACTGAGGAGGTTCCGTTTCGCTGCGTCTCGAGCTCACTGGAAAACACGCAGCCGCTGTGAGTGTGGGAGGGGCCGTCTGGGTGTCGGATGTTGGGTCTCAGCCTCTTTCTCATGGGAAGTGTTGTTCCATTTTTTATGTGGCTACCGGTGAAACATCTGTGTGTACACGGACACCTCTGTTTAAAATCACAGGTGTGTGCTTCCCCACTGCAGACACAGACCCCATCCCCTCAGCATCGTGGGTCACGCGTGAGGTCCCAGCGCTGCTGCTGGGTGGCCAGTCTTCCAGCAGTGAGCACACACCTCGGCCAGGCTGGGCTCCTGGGGCCTCTCCCCGGGGCCCCCGAGGTGGCTGACCCCCGTCCAGCTTCAGCCTTCTGTGCGTCCTGGAGAGGCCGTGAGTGGCACGGGGGGCACCGACGGCCCGGTGCTGTGAGCTGGGGCCCCAGTGGCTTCGGGCCAGGGGTGCGCCGGGATTTAGCAGCTTTAGATTAATGCCTTGAATAGCAAACCTCAGAGAATTTTTGGCATATTTTCATGTTAAAATTTTAAAAGGCTTAGACATATTTCATGGGCATTCCCCCCAAAAAACAACCCAGGGGCCATTTTGTGTGCTCCTCAATGGGCCCTGGAGACTGGGAGAGTCGGGGCCACGGGCCGCCCTCTGGGTCGGCAGCCCGCCCTCGTCAGCACCGGGCACTGCAGGGCAGGGAGGTTGGCCTTTTGGCATCTCTGGGCCACAGGGCAGGTCCCGAGGTGCTGGGTCCCGCGGTGTCCAATGTTCATTAAAAAAAGGCACTGATCACCACCGTGGAGTGAGCCGCCTGGGTTTCCCTATGCAAATCCCACTGAACAGAGTCCGGGTCACCTGTGGCCATGGTTGCTCCCCTGCCCTCAGCTCAGCTGGCCCAGGCCTCCCGCACCTTGTCCCCGGAGGCGAGGCCAGGGGTGTATGCTGTGTGGGGACCTTGCCTGTGTCTGGTTGGGGTGGGTGTGCGTGGGAGGCGAGGGGCCCGGACAGACAGACACATCCAGGACTCTGCCCGCAAAGTCTGGTGGGGTTGTTTTGAAGCACGACTGGCTGCTGTCACTTTCACTTATTGCAGTGACCACAGAGAGGAGGCCCCGCGTGTCCGGGTGGGAGGCAGGCGAGCACAGGGTGCACTGGGCCGGCAGTTTTGCCCGGAGGAGGGGCCCAAGGCGGGCCAGCAGCGGCTGGTCCTGTCTGAAGATGGGGCACCGTGCACCCCCCGGACTGCTACCATCGGACCAGAGGGGCAGACAGGGACTGGTTTTGGCCTTTGGAAGGTCCCCGGGTCCCTCCGAGAGCACTGGCGGCCACAGCGAGCACTTTATTTTAGCAGGGCCATCCCTGGTCCTCACTGCATCCCTGAGAGTGGACACAGCGAGCGCACAGTGGACGTGGTGCCCCGGCCCTAGTCGTTCATCACTGCTGCTGTGGCCCCTGCGGTCCGAGTGCCCGTGGTCCACACTCGGTGGTTTTTGTCCGTGACGCTGCTGTTTCCAGCAGCCCCCAAGCTCAGGCTGAAGTAGCCTTCTGGCTGCACTCGGGCCGGAAGGCTGGGCATGTCTCATGGACAGAACACAGGGCTTCCTTTGGGCTGGGTGACGTGTGTCAGCACGAGTTCAGTGGCCTGCGGGGCAGCAGTAAACATTAAACGAGGCGTCTGAATCACAGACACAAACGAGGCAGGCCACATGTAGCCTGAGTGCCGAAAACCACGAGCCCAGTGGCCCCTGCATTTCTCGTGAGAGCGGCACGGCGCCGGTTCACTAGGTGTCAGCAGCATGGCTTCCTGGGCGACAGGCCCTGACCGCACCTTACCTCTGGGGCCCTTCGAGGACTGGAGACTCGGAAGCTGTAGAGCCACTAACAAGAGCTTGGACCCAAGTGTGTGCAGGACGGTCTGTGGCCGAGGCCGTCCTGCAGGAGGGAGTAGGTGTGAGAAGGCGGGTGGTGCCCTGCCTCACTTCACATGCCTGCTTTCTAGCTGAGGGGCTGGGCGCCATAGACGGGTGGGGGCTGGGGGGAGAGGGTAGCTGGGGAGAAGGGCATCAGGCAGGAGTAAATGGCTGACTGGGCCGTGGGGCAGCAGCCCCTGTGGGTCTGCGGATGGGAGAGCAGCCTGTGTAACGCGCAGGACGTTGGCGGAGCCGTGGGAGGCCCCGGGGCTCCGACCCCACCGTGTAGGGGACACTGAAGACCCCCGAGTCGGGGCTTCCTGGCGCTTTATGAGGGGGCCTTGTCCGAGGAGAAGGGCTGGCGGCAGGACGCAGGCCATACGGACAGACACCAGGGCCTGAACTCACAGCCGGGTGCACAGGCGAGGACAGTGGTGTGGAAATGGGCGAGGGCCGCCAGCCCGCTTCCCTGGCGGCAGCCACAGTGGACCTCAGCGCACTTGGTCCTGGAGCCCGAAGGCGAGCCCGTCCCGCTGAGGGAGGGAGTGGGACGCACGTCCGGCTTCTGAGAAGCTGCCCTGGGGACCAGAGCCTGTCTCACTGGCTGCAGTGCTGATGGAGCTGGTCTGCTCTGGGTCCCCGGGCCACTGAGGATGCCTCAGAGTTCGGCTGCTTGTTCCGGGGCCTGCGAGCCCGCCATCCAGCCGACAGACCCCGAGAGGCAGAGGGGTCACGTGCACGAGCTCCGAGAAGGCCGTCCCACAGAAGGTCGAGAGGCTCCCGGGGCCTCCAGCCGTGCTGCTCGGCCAAGGTCTTTCCCCGATGGGCCCGACCCAAGACCGGGTGAGACGGGTGGCTGTTTTTCAAGTGCCCCAATCCCAGCCAAAAATAAGAAGGTGCACAAAGCAACAGAAACATGGACCGATCTCAGGAACAAAATAAATGTATAGAAGCTGCGATCTGTGCGTCCCCAGGACTCGCAGAAGTGACATGTGACCAAAGTGTGGGCTTCAGCAGAGAGATGGATGGTGTCACAGGAGCTGAAGACCTAAACTGGAAAAACTTCTGGGGGGACTGTCAGTGGCAGACTGGGCCAAGTAGAAGGAGGAATCAGCAAATGTGAAGACAGGTAACTTGAAATGATCAAGTTAAGAACAAGAAGAAAGAAGGAGGACAGGATTTATAAAGCCCAAGAGACTGGACACAGGCAGGTGGGCCAGCAGGTGAGTAAGGGAGAGCCTGCGTGAGGAAGACCACGGAGGCTGGGAGAAGCGAGGCCCCGGGCAGTGGACGCGGTCCCCAGGGCCCAGGTGGAGCAGCCCTGCGGCCTGGACGCTGCTTCAGCGACAGTCGACCAGGTCAACAAAGATCCCTCTGTGCCTCCAAGGCCGTGGGCCCGCCCAGCCTGCCTGCTCAACACATTAAAGTTGCAGAGACAACTGGAGACGGGGAGCGGTCTCGGTGTCGGGCGCCTGCTCCTGGAAAGGAGCAGGTACTTTCCACACCCGCTGAGTCTTGAGTTTTCTTTCGTTTTGCCCATTTTTCTACTTGCCCTTTTTATAAAGTTTCATAAAACTTTTGATGCTGAAAATGTGGGAATTTTATCATTACATATTGAAAATTTCCCTACTGTTCTGCCGGGGTTTTGTTTGTTTTCCAAATTCACGAAGAACCATGAAGTTTGTGATCAAAAGAAGCATGTCCCCAGGTCCTCCTCCCGACAGGGACTCGGCTCTCAAGCTGTCACCGGCATTTCAGCTGTTTCTCCATGTACGTGGCCGCACGTTCCCAGGTCTGGTGCGTCTCTCCCCGGGGGCGGGATGAGGCTGTGGGAGCGGCCCCCTTCGTGCTGGGGTGTCAGGCCAGGCTTGGGGGCTGTGCTTCCCAGAGCCTCAGAGAGAGGGGGCCCCGCAGGCAGGTGCTGCTGGTCCGGGTGGCACAGAATTCGAGACGGTGGCTTCCCACAGCAGTTCTGTGGTGCGTATGTCCTGACAGCCATACTGCTGCCCGAGACGCGTGGTTCAAAGTTCAAAGTCTGCAGAGCAGGAGACAGTGACCATCCCCCTGTCCACCAGCGCCCCGTCCTCCCCAGTAGACTCTGTGTGTGTAAAGCATGCACACGGCAGCGTGGTAGGTACATGACATGACACGGATCAGTTCACGTACATTGTATACACAGACACGCAAGGACAGACCGTTAAGTGGTCACCCATGACCAGCGCTGTGTCTGCACACGTCTCGGGCTGCGGCTGCTCCCTGGCAGGGCCTGGGCCCCTCGCTCGGCAGGGACGGCCGCCTGTCTGCCCCACCGTCTGCCGCGGGCTGGGAGCTGCCACCTGGTGGGACAGAAGCGTGTTCTCTCACGGGCTTGGTCGCAGGACTCGCTCTGCTCTGAATGGGGATGTCTGTCTCCCTTGTGTGAGCTGCAGTGCTTTGGGGGGGCTGTCATGCGTGTGGTGTTTAAAAGAGATGCTGTAAACATGGTTGAACAGGTGATGGGTACACCGAGTGACCAAGTGTAACTGGCAGTGGGCCAGATGCATTTTGCTCATTTTTTCCTGTAGCTCCGTGTGTCCATCAGTAAATGCAGTCAGTCGGGTCCATGTGCTCGGGGTGAGCGCTCAGGCCTCGTCTGTCCCCCAGGGAGCGGCCTCTGAGAATACCGGTCATCGGTCGGCCACGTCACAGGCTGTTCCCCCACTTACCGTGAGGAGGTTTGGAGAGTGTCCTGCCGAGCGCCAGCCTGACGCATGAGAAGGGCCTGCTGGGGGCCGACGCCTCACCTGGTTCCTGCATCAGAGTCGATCTCTCTCTTAACCTTTGATTAGGTGCAGGGAGCGAGTTTCCGGGGTTGGAAGGAAGTGACCTCGCTGTTCAGTAACGACGATGAACAACACCTCCTGGGAACATGCAGGTCTCCCAAGGCCAGGGGGTAAGTCCCTTGGGATGAGCGCAGTCAGCCCTCGGGAGGGAGCCAAGGGTGGCGGAGCTCCCATCACCAGCTCTGTCTCTCCCCGGAGCGAGGGGCCAGCAGGGCCTGCCCGGGGACTGAGAGCGTCCCTCCCCATGAGCAGACGGCAGACCAGTTTCTCAGACCTACTGTGACCTGGCAGTTGGGCCAGAGCCTGGAAACCCAGGCCGGGGCCCTGCATTAGACGTTCAGTAGTCTCAGAAATTCGGGGGGAAAAAAGTTAAAAATGTGAAGGATGTAAAAGGCTTTAGGAAATGGAATATATTTAAACTGACATGTTGCTGTTCGTTTGTTACAAATATCTTGAAATTTTTCCAAGTGTGATCCATCCCCACCACCAGTTGGCTCTCTCTTCCCTCCGTGGCGGATGGGGTTCCGCGTTCAGTTTTGTCCAGCAAATTACCTGCTAAACGCAAGAGACCAGCGTGCTGGAGGGGGGCCCCTGCAGAAACTCGAGGGGGTGACAGGACAGTCCCTGCACCCGAGTCTGGGTCCTGGGTCCCCTCAACCCGGGCACCGAGCTTCCGAGTGTTGTGGCCTCTCCTCTGAGACCTGGCTCAGCACGTGGGTCTGTGGTCTTCACGCGTGCTTCACGCGTGCCATCGCCCACATGGCGTGCCCGAGTCTTCCTCATTTTTCTGTTAAAGATTCACACTCGGGTTTGTGTTCACTGTCTACCCTGTTCAGAGTGTTGTAGAGAGACTCTTGTATTTATAAAATGGGCAGAGGGGGGGAGCTCCCTGCGTCACCAACATGGAACTCTCTTGTCTCCCACAGAACCAGCTTGCGGTTAAAGGAAGAGTTGAAGATGGAGAAGAAATCTGGATTTTGGGACAATTTGGTTTTAAAGCAGAATTTACAGCCTAAGAAGCCAGATGAGATCGAAGGTTGGGAGCCTCCCAAACTTGCCCTTGAAGATGTGGCGGCTGAGTCGGGTGATGGCCCGAGTGTCCGAGGGCCCCGGCCGGGCTGGGAGGAAGGGGCCAAGGGTTCTGGCAAGTACACCAGCCTGGCTGGCCCGGGAAGCAGCTCGCGCTGGAGCCTGAAGTCCGCAGGGAAGCTGGTCAGCATCCGGCGCCAGAGCCGTGGCGGCCACCTGACGGATACCTGGGAGGAGCTGGAGTGACGTGAGCCGTGCCATCCAAGCGTCTCCCTGCCGCCGCTGCCTGGATATGCTGCTTCGCGATGCACTGTGCCCCGATCCTTAGGTTTGCTGCGCCAGGGTGTCCTTGTTAGTCTGCCGGTCTTTCCCCGATTAGACAGCAGAGTCCCCTCTGCCCGTGTCCCTGTTTGGACTTCCCTCTAGCACGCTGGGTGACGATTTCCAAACCTCTTGACCGCGGGGTCACCGCTGGCTTGCTGCTGCTGTCCTGGGCGTCCCGGGAGCCCGACCCGCAGATGCGGGTGTTGATGCTGCCCTGGGGCTGCTGAGTGTGGTGCGCCACCTTCCCCAGCTGCAGCCCTCGGCTCTGCGGCCGGGGGGCTCCGTGGCTTGTTCAGCACAGCACACCGGACAGAGCAGCTGTGGCAGACGGGCTGTCCAGGTGCCCAGTGAGCCCCGCAGAGGCCGCATCCTGACCTGGCGTCTGCCCTGGGAAATCAGACTTGTTCTCACAACACAGTTAAAGCTGGGAAAGCAAACCACGTTCCCGAGAAGCGGAGGGGGTGTCTGGTCAAGTACCAGACGCTGCTGCACAGAGGCCCTCCCTCCGCAGCAGTGCGGACGGCGCTGCTGCCCTTCAGGTGTTATTTTTACTGCTGGAATTTTACATATTGATCTTTATTTTCTTCTACAAGTTTGTTCTTTTTCGATTACAGATTAAAAAAACACTGTAGAGTGTGGATCAGTTTTCGTAAGTTGATTAGTACTGTGACTTTGTGTGGACTCACTCACCATAGAGTTAAAACTGCATATAAAACACTGGAAGTGCCTCTTTTCTGTGATGCCCAGGCTTCGCTTTGAAAACGAGATGTGCTGTGGCTGCTGCCAAGTCGGGTGGCGACCCCAGCTCGGGCCCCCAGGCTCTGCTCCCGGGGCAAGGCCACGGGCCTGGCTCGGGCTGGCGTGGAAGGAGAGGTTCCGTTCTCTGGTCACACTGTGTTCCCCGCGTGAGAAACACCGGGTGCACCGTGGTGCTGCCACACGTCACCGCGTGTTTGTCTCACTCTTGCTGAATGAGCCCGCACGCTGGCGGCTGGACACCCGGTGGGTCGGTGTGTCCGTCTGTTGTCTGTCATCCACAGACCTCCAGCCTCCGGGGTGCGTGCACGTTGTCCCTCAAGCGTGTCTGCGGACCCCGTCAGTCACCCGTCTCTCTGGCTCCTGTCAGCCATCTGTTCACCCATCCACGTCCTCTCAAAGGAACACATATTTGAGTGTGGGGCCAGGCGCGTGGGTCAGGCGGCGTCGGAGCTGTGACGCGGTGGGGTCCAGACTCTCCTTGCCCCAGGTGAACGGCCCTGCACGTCCCCAAGAAATGTGCCCTGGGCATCGACACACCTGAGCCCAAGGCCCGTGTGTTGGGGACGGACACCGTCCGGGCTCCGGGGCTTTGCGGCCCAGTGAGCAGCTGCCGTGGTCGTGCCGCAGGGACGCCCATCGGGCAGCTCAGGGTGTGGTTTCTCAGGGGAGCACAGCTGGGGTGGGGCTGGGACGTGCACTGTACCTCACTGCTTCGTGTCTTCAAAGGTGATGTGAACGCGTTTTCCTCTCTGGCATCCGGTGAAATGAGAACGGCGGGCTGTGGGCTCTGATGCAAATGCTCACTGGGGTGACTCGGGAGGAGCGTCGTTACCCAGCGGCTCTCTGTTCACAGGGTCAGAAGAGGTTTGATCTGGGGGCTGTGCTCGAAGTCTGTGTGCAGACGGTGCCGCCGTGTGAGGAGCGAGGTGTCTGCTCCTCCTCCTGATGTCCCTTCGTCTCGTAACGTGGGAGGGCTTCTGTCGATGTGAAGTCATCCTTAACGCTAGATTTTTTAAAATAAAACTACTGTTCACACTCTCGCTGTCGGTCGCCTGGTTGCTGGCCCCCCGGGGAAGGTCCACACTCATGGCTGCAGCCCAGGAGCCCGTGCACTTTCCCGGACACTTCAAACCCGGTTTTAAAAGCAGACGCTATACGGAGGAGCTTCGGGAATAAGTGACAGGTTCTGCCCCTGCGGCCGTCTGCCCTGCTGAGGCTGCACCCTGGCTCCAGTTCTGTCTTCAATCTTTATTTTATTCCCTTGTGAGAGAGGCGGGGAGGAAAAGAGAAACACCAAGTGGCTGCCTCCACACACCCCAACAGGGGGTAAAGACCACAACCCGGGCAACTGCCCTGATCGGGGATGGAACCAGCCAACTTTCGGTCCTCGGACCGCACTGCCGCCCACTGGGCCACACAGCCACAGCGGGGTCCAGCTTTTTATTCAGCTTGGTCAGTTGGGTTGGAGCCTGAGCACCCAGTGGGGGGAATACAACGTGCTCACCGTATCTTTTAGGAGGAGCCTTTATCCTTGGAGAGAAGCCTGTTTTGGGAGCAGTGTCCCCTGAGAGGGACAACTTCCCACGGGAACTGGGGACCTCTCACTGGCCACAGGCTGGGACTTCTGGATGGAGGCTGGGTGACTCCAAGGAAAATGGGAAAGGTGTGTTGTGTCCTGGTGTAACCCCTGCCTCTGTGCCCTCACAAGCCCTCCTGCCCTGGTCATCACCGACCAAGGAAGCCCCAGGGTGTGTCGGGTCTGTGCCTCCAACTCCTGTTGTTCCAGAGGAGGCAGGTGCCGAGGGTGGGAGGGGACCCTGCAGCGCCCCCATGCCGCCCCTCCCCCAGGCCCCGCTGCAGGCCCCAGGGACCAGGGACTGGGGAGCGGGGAGCAGGCCCTGGGGCAGGTTGTTTCTGGGAGACTCCAGACACCAGCGGGTGAGGGGAGGGCACAGCACCCTCGGGTTTACCTGGTTCTCTCACTTGATCTTCGAGAGCTTACGTCTTTAAAAAGTAGTAGGAGATAAAAGATTGGAAACATTGGAAAGATATATCAAAATATGGGTGGTATTTAAGTTTTTTGTGTGTATTGGCTTAGAAAACTTTCTACAATGAACACACTTTACTTTTGCAATGAAACAGCAGGGTGAGTACAAAAAGGCAACTAACTTTAGACTGTGAAACATACAGAAAAGACCAAACCCAGTGTTTGCAAATGGCAGCCGACCAGCCCTGTGTCTGCAGGCCCCACCAGGGAAGAATGGTTTCACATTTTTAAAGGGTAGAAAAATTGAGTAGTATATCACGACACATGAAAAGTACATGCAACACATGTGACCAAATAGCCATAATTATAAACATGTTTGAGCCAAATATCAGCTGAATAAATGGAGTGTCTGTGGAGGAAGCAAGGGTAGCTCTGCTGAGCCCCGAAACTGCAGTGCCCACTTCCGGTGGGGGTCACGGCTACCCCCGATGGAGGTGAGCAGAGTGATGCGGAGGGAGCCCCTCCCGGCGAGAACGGGAGGAAGAGGAGGAAAGGTGTCCAGCATAACATCCGTTACATGAGGCAAGAGACAGAAGCATGTCCGAGTGTCCAGGGACGGGCTAGCAGGTAAGCATGACGTGGAATGGAGATACAGCCTGCGAGGGAGGACTCTTCAGACCCTGAGGACGTCACAGCCAGTGGAACAAGCCCAGTGCTGCGTGAGGACAGACCCGGCAGGCTTCCTCCAGAGGAGGTCCCTGGAGGAGTCAGACTCGCTCTGAATTGGTGTGGGCTCCATCTGGTGTTCACAGGAGAATCGGCACCAATTCCACACCAGTGCCCCCGAAAACTGCGGAGGTAGGCCCTCCAGGGCACCCTCACTCTGGGGGCCGTCCACACCAACCCTAAAACCAGACAGCCATGTCAGGAGAACTCCACGGGAGCCCGCAGCCCATGCAGAAGGTGCGGCACCCATGGCTGAGGATGAGCGGTGACGGAGGACACTGGACATGGGGCAGTGAACACACAGTGCAGTGCACAGACACCGGGTTACAGGATTGTGCCCCTGAACCTACGTAACTTTATGAACCAGTGTCACCCCAGTAAACTTAGTAAAAACATTTTAAAAGAGACAAACACCATGACCCTTTCTTTCCCTATCCTGCGTGGCATCTGGTCTCCTGGGAGTAATTCCCCACCTTCCGTCTGCGTCTTCTGTGACTCCCCTCTGCTCCACCGCTCACCTCCCACCTGCCTCCCCCACACGCACCTGTGGTCCTGGGTCTGCGTGCACCTGGGGCTCCTACCCGAGCACACACCTGACTTCTCTCCCGATGTCACATGTTGTAATTTAGGGACAAGAACCGTGGCCTCACAAGGTTAGTATCCTTTCAGAAAATGTTAGTACAAGCCCGGGCCGAGTGGCTCAGCCGCTCGGAGTTCCACCCTCTGTGCCAGGATTTCGAGTTCAATCCCCAGTCGGGGAACATACAGGACTCAACCAACACAAGCTTAAATAAGTGGATCAACAAGTTCGTGTTTCTTTTTCTCTCAGAAAATCCGTAATTGAATTTTTTAAAAAAGAAAAATTAATACAAAAAAGTACCAAAACCCCAAAAGTAATACTGACACGAACACACGTGGGGGATTTAGCAAGTTCGAAACGAGAGCCAGTGGCCGCACACACAGAGGGCGGTGGGAGGCCTCGCCGTCCAGGAAGGTGGGAGCGATGTCTGTTCTCATGAGCAGCCTGGAGACACCTGCAAGGACCAACTCGCTCTTGTCCTCCTTCTCAGTCACTAAGGACACGGGCAGGGACACACATGTGCATCACGGTGACAGGTCGTGAGAGGCGGGTGGCCGTCACTCCCGGGCCACACAGAGCCCGCAGCCCCGCCCGGCACTGTGGGTGCCACAGGAGCCCGGAGAAGAGGCGTGTCCTTGGCCACGGGGCTTGTGCAGCACAGACTGGGGCCCTGAAAACACAGAATCGTCATCCACAAACACACAAAGCTACACGCGTTAACATGCCCAGGAGGAAGAGAATAAAGGATGGGAACAGAAATGAGTCTGCGCGAGCCCCCGGCCTGCGAGTTCCGAGGTGAAAACGGGCGGCGAGCGATGCCGTCCTCCTCCCACCGGTGGTGAGCGGCCAGGCCCCTGCTCTGTGGCCGGCCGGCCCCTTTGGGCAGCCGGATGACGTGATTTCACATTGTGCCGATTTTCTGCAATGGCCATGCGTTATTTTAAAAATAAAAATAAAACAGTCTTTTAAAGGTTTGAAAGGTTTACATAAATGATACCAAAATCGCTATCTCCACTTTTTTTGGTGAGATGTAAAACTGATGGAGTTAGGTCGCAGGTAGGACTTGTGGTCCACAGAAGCAGGCTCCGTCCGGGAAGGCCCCGGCCTCAGGCTGCCCAGCTCCACGCGCTCCACCGCCAGCCCCCCCACCGTGCTGCCTGCAACCCCGGGCGCTGGCGTCTGTCCGAGGGCTCGTCCCCACTGCCACGCCTTGGCTGGTCACGGCCGCCTCACACAAGGCACAGCCCGATCGTGGAATTCCAGAGTGGACACGAATGTCTCGCGGGGCTCGTTTCTCGCTCACGAGGGAGCCATCTGACACAATTGGTGCAGCTAACACACATCTTAAGAAAAATAAATATTCTGCACAAGGTAGTTACACGGATCAATGGTTCTGTCCCAACCCCCAAAGATCGCCAAACCCAGAAGCTGTCATGTGGCGGAGAGCTGCGCAGTTGGCCGTCAGTGTCTGTTCGGCAGAGAACGTGGAGCTGGAAACCCGGGGTCTTCTCCAAACCGCGTTTATGCACCTGCAAATCACCATATGCTCACAAGAAAGGGACTTTTTAAAGGACTTGCATTTGCCTGGGTCCCCTGCCTGGGAGCAGCTCATCCTGCCCCTCCCGGGCCCTCGGTCACAGGGTCACCTCCTGGCTCCACAGGCCGCTGCACGGGGCCAACGGCCTCTAAAACTTGAACAGGTCGATGAAGTGCTGGGGCGACACGGGTGTGAAGCAGCTGTCGGGGTCGGCCGCCGTGCAGGGGTGTCCTGAGTCCTGCGGATGCAGAGAGAGCGGGTTACACAGGTCAGCCATGGCTGTTCGTGAGCGGTCCCCTGGCCCCACGCCACAGGTGGCTCTCAGTTGTACAGAAACTTCCCGGTGAATTTCTGCTCGAGCAGATGGACGGACAGGTGGCCTGGAACAGCTGGCCCTGCCCAGAGGAAGGGACACCCAGGGTCCCTGCCGCCCCGGAACCGCCCACGCTCTTACAGCAGCTGATGGCCCAGGGTCGTGCTTAACAGGAAGGAGGTTTTATGTGAGAAGACTGATAAACTTCAGAGAACGTGGCACCCAAAGACTGAGCCAGTGGGAGTTAGAGGCCCGGTGAGGCAAGCGCATTCTCTGGGTGGCTGTGGCCAGGAGGGGGCTGCCCCAGGGGCCACGGAAGGGAATGCCACCGGACACATCCAGAGCTTCCTGGAGGCTGAGCCTTTGCTCAGGCGCAGGGCTCTGAGGCATTTCACCAGAACCCTTTGGTGACGCTAAAATAAGTGAGACCCTCACAGTCTGGCCACCAGCCCCCCTCGAGCCACTGAGGCTGCCGCCCAAGTGGATGGCGGTCCGGGCAGGGCCAGGCGGCTGCAGGGTCCATCCCAAGCAGGGCAGGGCAGAGAAGTGCGCGGTACCTTGAGTAGCAAAGCGAGGCGGCAGTCCTCGGGTGTGAAGGCAGGCCGGAAGGGGTGCGAGGGAGGGAAGGGGGAGAGATTAGAAGGCGGCGGGCTGATGCGCTGTTTAGGAGAACTGGAACCGTCAGGCAACACTTGGCAACACCGTTATTGCCATGAGCACACCAGACCCCGCAAGTGCCCCAAAGACCCAAGATGCGAAGACAGGCTTCAGACCCAGACACACGTCTCATGTCCCTCTAGGCATCTCGAGGGACAGTGACGCGGCTGTGGTGGCTCCCGTCCCCCAGGGCTCGCTGGAGAGAGTGAAGCAGAGCTGGTGTGCCCACCTGGGGTGGACATGGAGAGCAGGTGGAATGTGTTTTGGGGAAACTCAGTCACAGGCTGTTGCGGTCTCGCCGGTGACCATGGAGCTGGAACCCTGGCTCAGGTGTCAGCCCCCCGGCTGCCTGTGGGGCGCCGTGGGGACGTGGCGCTAATGGTGACAGGCTGTGGGTGTGCTTCTCTCTGTCACTCTTGCTTGTTGTAAAATGCCCGCCACCCACCTGCCACGTCATGTGGGCGGGAGCCCCTGCTGCCCGTCCCCTGTACTGGACTCGGCCACTCGGGCAGGCGGCTGCACCATCAGGGTTGTGTGAACGCCTCTGTGATGTCCACAGGGACAAGGCTACCTAGTGACATTTCTCACGCGTCCTCATTGTTAAATGATATGTCACTCGACAGACAAGTGGGGTGTTTACAGGCAGAAGCCCGAGGCCCTGGGGCAGGTGGGCTGGCAGGATGCCCGCGGGCCCGGCCCAGCGGCCCCCATGAGGTCACCCAGGGTCATGGTCAGGCTTGAGGCGAAGCACAGACAGCATCCTGGGTGACACGAAGTCAAGGGCGAGAAAACTGGGGTTTACTGCAGAGGGGGCTGCAGGAGCCCACCTCTGGGCAGGGACAACCTGGCCGGGGGCAGTAAAATGAAGACCAGGAACGTCTCAGGAAGAAGGGTTTGTGTTCTCTGGGCATGGAAACTGCCAGAGATGAAGTTTCTAAGTTCAGATTTTTCACAGAAGGGTCAGACTTGTGGATAAGCCAGGGGAGTCGAGTTTCACCAGACACCTGAGAAATCACACCTTCCCCTCGAAAGCCTGGGGCCTGGGTGCAGGCGCCGTGGGCGGAGCTGACCCCCGAGGGCAACTGCTGGCGGCCAGGGTCGCTGTGGGCAAAGGTCAAGTCTGGGGTCTCCCTCTCTTCCTCAGACCGAGGGCACCAGCCAGACCTGCCCTGGGGATGCGCCTCCGAACCACACGGCAGGCCTGCGTCCCCGAGCCCAGGCGGCTGCCTCCGTGTCTGGTCCCACCCCCCATGGTACAGAAGTTCCCTTTGCTCAGCACTGCAGCCAAAACACAGAGGAGGGACTGACTGGCTGCACCACGCCCCACCCCCACGTCCCGAAGCCCCACCCCCACGTCCCGAAGCCCCACCCCCACGTCCCGAAGCCCCACCCCCACGTCCCGAAGCCCCACCCCCACGTCCCGAAGCCCCGAAGCCCCGAAGCCCCGACCGCTACCTTCCAGAAGAGGATGCTGCAGTGCCGGCAGAAGTGCAGGGTGTCCCCGTACTGCTCTCGGGTCGGGTAGCACTTCTGCAGCGCGAAGTACATCAGCTTCCACTCGACGTGGCCTTTCTCTGAGAGGATCAAGTGTCTGCAAAACTGGACACACACAGTGCTCTTCAGCGTCAGCACATGGTTTCACTGCGAGGTACTGGCAGCAGAGCTACTTAGAAAGGCAGCTAGTGCACAAACTTTGACTAATTGGAAATAAACTTACTGGGATTAACCTGATAAGGGACTAACTGAATAAAGGGCAGATAAAGGGCAGGTCCATACTATGGACGTTGTGTGGCCACTGAACAGATTGAAATACTCAGATCGGAATGATGCCCGTGATGTGCTACTCAGTTAAAACCACGTTAATAAGTCAACCATGCTATACACCAAAACCAATACGATGCTGCACGTCAGCTCTCACTGAAAAGTAACTTTAAAAAATGGCGTGTTACGCGCCTCACCTCTCTGACAAGGGACTTGTGTGTAGGACACGCAGAGAAGACAGCTGAATGATGAAAACACAGCTCAGTGAAAAAATGGGCAAAGAGCATAAAAGACCTTTCTGCAAAAACACAGAAATGGCCAGAGATGCTCAGCATCCCCATCTTCAGGGAACCAGGAAGAGACCCCAACTCACGAATATGAGGACAGCGTGACCGTCACCAGGCGCTAACAGGTGGCAAGGAGGAGGCAGAGCGACCCTCGTATACACAAGTGGGACAGCAGACAGTCTGGCAGCTCCTCAGAAGCACGGACACAGTCACCGTCTGGCCCAGAAGGGCCACGCCCAGGTGTGCAGCCAGGGACATGCAGTGAATGCCCACATGACAGGTGGGCTCAGGGCGAGCGGCCTGCTGGTCCGAGTCGCAGCGTGAGTGGCTCTGGGGATGTCACTTGGCAGGACAGCAGCCACAACTGTGGCTGCAGCAAGTGTCCAGGACGGAAGTGGATGGGAACAGGGGCCTCAGCGCAAGTTCATGGGTGGGGTTCTCCCTGAAAACAGCTGGGAGCCACGGCGCATGTGCTCGGGCACCGCACGGACGGTGCCGACACGCAGGTGGCAAGGCGAGCGCCTGGACAGTACACACGGACGGAAGGACCCATGGGGGGGCCTCCAAAGTGAGGGGGCTCCTGTCCTCCCGCAGCACCTCGCAGCCCTCGGGGACCAGTGTGAGCCGTCAGCTTTCCTCTGGGGAGGGTCTGGCCTTCGCTCTGCGAAGTGCGACCGCAGGTGGGAGCCTCGCCTATCCCAGAGCTTCTCCAGCTGCCCGGGCACACGGCGGGGGCGACGTGGCCTCCCAGGCCTGGTGGCAGCGCTGGCCCCACGTCCCCAAGCTCACCACACTCCCCTGCACGCAGGCTTCTGTGCAGACTCCACCTACCCCAGCACATCACCCACGGGACCCAGGGCTTCTCAGGGACCCTCCGCTACCCCGCCCACCCGAGGGGATGGCACTCACAAGTCTCCACAGCTTCGAGGCACTCAGCCGAACCTGTCTCTGAGGATGCGACCGACTGCTCCCCCATCCTCACTGCCCCCCCCACATGGGGGTCAGAGGGCAGCGTGGGCTCTGACCCTGGGTGGCAGCTCCACTGTCTCTGAGACCACGGCTACCAGAGGTGACAGACCCCCAGGACAGAAGGCTCACCCTGTCGCGCCCTGTCACCTGGGGTGCTCTAGAGTCACGGCTCTTTCTAAGGATGAGCAACCCTGCATGCAAGCCACCAGAGGGAAACCTCCGCACTTCATGTAATAAAGTCTGGCTGCTGTGAGCTGCACCTGCGGCTACAGGTGAGGCCGCCTGCTTACCTGCTTCTCAGCGAAGTGGTACTGACAGAGCTTCCTCCACAGCCGCCCGTCCTCGCTAAGCGCGGACAGTGCCGGCGTCACCTGGCCCAGGGTGACAATGTCCCAGCCGTCCGAGAGCCGGTACAGGATGTCGTTCAGCGTGTGCAGTGGCAGGTCGCTGAGCGTGAGGCCGTGGTTCACCTGCGACAGGGAGCAGGGCACACGGCGCCATCAGCCACTAGACACTGACGGCCCGGGAAGGCCGGCGGTCGCACTGAAACACAGCTGCCGCTCCCCCACCCAGTGGCCCCAGTGTCCTCCCGGCAGCCCGGGAGGCGTGGTCACACAGGGACGGCGGGAAGCGGAGGAGCCGGAGTGGACGAGACTGCTTCGTGGTGACAGTTCCTCCGTGACCATCCACACGAGCGAGACTCACTCACCAGGTGGCCATCCCTGAACCTACACCAGCTGCGCAGGACACCGCAGGCCACGGGGGTGGCGGTCAGGCCATGTGCTGCGCTGCCGCCCCCTGCAGTGTCCACCTGGGTCAGCTCAAGTCCCAAGTCGCAGCTTATCTGTCCCTGAGGTGCCCTGGAGCTTTAATCGCTGGGATTGCGTGACTTCAAGCATAAAGCACACAATGTGTCCGCCCCTCAGGGACGCTCACGTGGCTCGTCTGAGGGCCACGTCCAAGGGGCCCAAGTGTGCTGGGGACAGGAGGCCCCACCTGGACTCAGAAGCAGACGTCCCCACCGTCCCACCCAGCTATGGCCCCACCCCCAACAGGACCTTCAGCACCTGCTGACCCAACACAAGCCCCCCCGAGGGGCAGCGCCCCCAGCTGGGCAGAGCATGCAGGCCCGAGGACAGGTGGCTTCTGTCTGGAATCTCTTCTCGAGACTCCCTGGCCCTAGGGTCCCTGATGAGGGACACATATGAGGAGTGGATTCGTTGTGTGGTCCCCGCAGAAGGCAGGGGAAGGCACGAGGGGTGTGGAGAACCACGCAGGACCACACGCCTGCACTCACTGAACGTCACTGGAGCCCGAAACCCCCAATGTTCCTAAAGGTAATTACGCTTGCTACCTCGTCACCCAGAGTCAGCTCCTTACTGGAGCAACTACACTGAAGAGTCTTTGGTCATCACCCACCTCAAATCAGCACCACAGAAGGGCAAAGAGCTGGGGGGCCGTCTCAGCCTCTGTGCAGGGTCATACCTGCGTCATCTGAAGGTCCTGCAGCTGCCGCTGCCAGGCGAGGACCGTCTCCAGTCGGCAGGCCCAGACACCGATGCTGCCGACCAGCACGGACTTGCCGACGCCCCTGAGCAGGGCGCCCAGGGCGGAGCTCAGGTCCTGCAGCAGGCCTCTGATGAGGCGCGGGTTCTGGTGGTCCTCGAGCACTGGGAGGGGCAGAGCACAGCAGTGGGTGGACGCCGTCACCCGCTGGTCGTCACACATACAGCGTGTCCCACGCATGTGGCAGAGTCTCTCTCCGCCCGAGAAGAGGAGACAGCCTTGCCGTGCTGTGGTGCGGGGGAGCCCCGAAGACCCAGTGCTCAGTGAGGCCGGCCAGGCACAGGGGGACGGGCACTGTGTGACCCTCACTGTGCAAGGTCCCCACAGTCGCCAGACCACAGAGAGAGCAGCAGGCGGGGGGCCCAGGGCTGCGGACGGGCTGGGCGAGCCTCTCAAGGGTGGGGGTCAGGTTGGGAGGACCGGAAGTTCTAGGGACGAATGGTGGTGGTCACACAGCAGCGTGAATGTGCTGCATGCCACTGAACCACACGCTTAACAGTGGGAAAAACTGTTAATTTTATATCGTGTGCACTTTACCACAACTGAGACAATGATCTGACCTCGCTGCAGCCCCAAACTGGCAGGCTCCAGGCACCACAAATACGCTGATTAAAGTTTGGAAATGTTCCCTGACAGGGCACCTTGGGCCAAGTCTCCAACTCGGACACGAACCTGCTGGACTTGTTCCCTCTGTCAGAGGAGAGCTGGTGTTCCAGAGGCTGTGCACACTCACAGACTCACACATGTGCACACACCCATGCTGGGCAATCTGCAGTTCCATTGGTTAGCCACTGGTTAACCAATTCGAACAGTGAATTAAGAAGAAAATTCTAGGTTTATCTGAGGCCAACGCAAACGAGCCCCCGCCCTGCTGGTCAGGGAAACATCCTTGGCAAAGGGAAGTGTCCCTGGCTCACTCGCCTTTCCGGTGGTGTCCGCGCAGCGGCACACCCAGACTCCACGCCCCGGCCAGCCGCCCCCTTGCACCACCTCAGGGAGGTTCAGATGGTGAGAAACGTCACTCAGCCGCTTACCCTTTTGAACAATTTTATCCAAAACGTTGAAGTAGTTCTTCTGTGCCACACCACTCAGCGATGTCAGCTGGGACTTCGCGATGAGCTGCAAGAGCTTCAAAGAAAGAAGGGGGAGCTGCGCCTGAGGCTCCCTCACAGGGAACCCGACCCCTGCGACCACCTGCGCCTCCCCTCCTCCTTCTCGAGGGAGGCCCTGTCGCCCCACCTGGTGCTTCGGCCTGAGCCCGCCCACTCCCTGGCTTGCCCAGGGTGTGGCCCTGTATGTCTGGGGTGTGGCCTGCACGCTCTCTGAGTGAGACCCAAGCTCTCAGCCCGACGTCTGACCCGTCCCAGGGCCCTGCTTCCCCAGAGGACCCTCACTCCGTCTGTGCTTTACCTGTCACTTCTGTTCTGACCTTTAAAACTCAAAACCACTGATCCTCTGCCGCCCTCGTCACCTCAGCCCCCTCCTCGGTGTTGGAAGTGCCTGCCGCCCAGGGCTCCCCCTCCCCCCCCATACCTGCGCTGTCCTCTGTCCTCTGGCGCTCACACTGTCTGTCTGCTCCCACCCCACCCCCGCCGTGGCTGCCTCCCCAGGCCTGCAGGCTCCGCTTGAGACCAGTCTGCCCCCTCACTGGTGCAGGTCCCCACACCCGGCGTCCCTGCGCCTATCAGTGCTCTTTGTCCTCACCCGTATCTGAGCCCCCAGGAGGCTCCGGAGGGGAGGTGGGCCTTCCAGGCTCCTCAGCCCAGTGCTGTCCCCACCCTCTGCCCTGCAGGGAGGCCTGGTTCCCTCAACGCGGCCCACTGCACCCCTCACCCCTGCCACCCACCTCGGGCTGCTGAGACCTCTCCTCCCCGCCGGCCTCCCCGGGGCCACACGTGTGGCTGCTGCTGTCGCCCTGGGCCTGCCCTGAACAGGTCCTCGGAGGTCTCCTGACGCTTCCTGCCCGCTCTTGGCCTCACACCCACTTTAGGATCAGCTGGCTCTGCCCCCTCCGTCCCCTTCCCCTCGTCTGCTGCCTGTGCCCATCTCCAGAGCAGAAAAGGAAGTGCAACTCACACTCACGGAGACGCACTGGCTGGAGAAGGCCCAGAGTCGCACTGAGAACATGACAGTCACCCACGGTCTTTGGGAAGCGGTCTTTCTGCAGCGCCTGCCCCACGTGACAGTGCACGCACAGCCCCAGTGCACCAGAGGACGCGGAGGAGACCTGCCCCGCACATGGGACCAGACCCACAGCTCCTACTCAGTCCTCACCACCTGCATGTTCTTAAATGTCTTCCTCGTCCGACCACCATCACAGTGCTGAGTGACACCCCTTCTCTCCCACCTGCACTTGGGACCAATGACAGAGACTTCAGGCAGCGAGGTGTACAGCCCGCACCACTGCTGACGAGGGCTGGACTGAGATGTGACCGAGGCGAGTCTGCAGCCCTGCTGGGCTTTGGGAACAGACCCAGGCACCCATCAGAGAGGAGGGGAGAAGGGCGGTTCCACAGGCCCATTTGCACGTCAGCAGGCAGCCAGGGGTGGAGGCTGCGGCAGTCCTTGGGGTCAGAGCTGCCTCCTCAGGGTCCCTGGGACAGAGGTGACCCCCACACAGGTTCCCCCCCCCCACTTGCAGGGCACGGCGACATGTCCTGGATGCTACAGACCTGAGGACCCAGGGGCCTTCTACTGCAGCAGACATCAGGGAGATTCACAAAGGTGGAAAACACCACCTTTATTTTTAAATACACAGAAATATTTTTAAAGTGTTTCAGCTCCTATGTGGTAAACCTAACAGCTATACCTCACAAAGCCTGGACCTCACTGGGGTCCTCGTAATTTCCGAGGGAAAAGCATCACCGAGCCCAGTCTGGGAACAGCTGCTCCAACAGCTGGCCCTTCGGGGTGGGGACCGGCGCCCCTCCCATTATCAGCACAGCTAGTTTTCTGACATCACCAGGCACACAATCCTCCCCAGAGGGGCTGGGCCCCAGTAAGAGGCAGGGCTGGCGGGCATCTCAGCTGGCTCTCTGGGGGCCCCAGGGCGCAGGCCCCATGGCAGACGGCACCGCGGCAGGCGCAAACCCAGGAACCACAGGGGCTACGGCAGCAGGTGAGAAGGCGCATTGCAGGTTAGAAGGGAAATGAAGATGAAAGGACAAAAGCCACACGTTGTACAGAGTCAGAACCAGTCATCAGTGTCTATCAGCTGGATATATAAAGCATGACCTCTGAGAAACTGAATTAAAAAGAGTTAAAATACAAATATTGTAGGAGACTTTTATATATTTCTTTCATTTTGAAAATTCTAAAGAAAAATGTGTGCCCCAGCTGGTGTGACTAGTGAACTCAGTGCCAGCCTGCAAACCAAAGGCTCGCTGGTTCGATTCCCAGTCAGGGCACATGCCCAGACTGCTGGCCAGGTCCCCAGTAGGGAGCGCGTGAAAGGCAACTGCACACTGACGCTTCTCTCCCTCTCTTTCTCTCTCCCTTCCCCTCTAGAAATAAATAAATAAAATCTTTAAAAGAGAGAAAATTCAGAAGAAGTGTGTGGAACAACTAAATAATAGTTCTAAATAATAGAACTAAACCACACCTGCGTCAGAGATTAGCCAAAAAAATCAGGTCCTTCAGAGGGTCTGCAGGGTCCTCCTGTCAACAGAACATTCACAAACACCAGCCGAGAAAGGGCCGCAAAGGAAACTTTCACCTCAGAGAAGCAGAGGTCTATGGGCCAAACTCTGAAGACGAGATCATGAAACCAGAGGCAACCTCAGCCAAATGAAACGTAGCTGTTGTGGCTGGAGGTGCATCCGGAACAGGCCAGGGCCCCAGAGGAAGCCGACCTCCACGACCTCCACGCGTGGGACTGGCAGCCCCAGGCGCCGGTGGGAAGGCCAGAAGGGAAGGGGCCGGCACTGGGGTCTCTCTCTCGTCAAGTCAGCTTACGGAGCCAAAACAGGACAGCGCGCTCTTCGGTGGGCAGGGCGCCTCCCCACCACTCCTTTGGAGTCGCAGCGAACACAAACACTGCGTGCGTGCTAACCCTGCCTTCCTGACATGCCCCCGGACTTCCTGTGCGAGAGAACCACCAGCCCAAACACCTGCGATGGATGTCACCGGTGTTGTCCAAAGTGAGGCCAAGGGAAGCACTTCCTTCTAAAGAGACGTCGGGAGGAAGGCTTCTCAGTAAGAAACACGGGGCTGCAGATGGGAGTCACCAGGTGGCTTGGGGGACAGGGTCAGGGACACCGGTGGCCACCCGGTGCCAAAGGAGCCCGAACACACCAGTGCGGTGCCCAAACTGAGACAGAGGCACACAGCTCAGACCCCTCAGGCTGAAGGGTCCCCACACACAGGAGTTTGTCCTCATACCCGAGTCCCCGAAAGCCCCTCCAGACCCAACCAGTCACGGCAGCCGCTGGCCTGACAGCAGGGAGGGGAAGGAGCCGCAGAGCAGGGGCGTCTGCACGTGTGAGAACAGACGCGTGGCCGAGGGCCCCCTTTAGCATGTAGAGCAAGATGCAGATTTCTTCTGGAAAGGTCAGGAGCACAACAGGCTTTGTGGGTTCTGTTTTGTACGGATTTCCTATTTTCCGCCAGGCCACCGCGCCTAAGCAGGACACGCAGGCGACCAGCAGGCAGCCCCATGGGGAGATGTCCGTGACCCGTCACCTCCTGCATGTGGGGTTCGTCCACCTGGACCCCCCCGCCCCCGCCCGTCCCAAGCCTGCAGAGGCCCACTCCCGAGCGGCACCGAGTCTGTTCTCTCCTGAACCCACTCCTGGCGACCCCTGTGCACACAGCCAACAAGCGCAGCTTCATGCAGGAGCCAAAAGCACCGAATACTCACTCTGACCACGTAGCTGAACCGGCGGACGTCCTGCACGGCGCTACAGAAGTCCAGGCGGGTGAAGGCCTCCCCCAGCGTGCAGTAGCCGTGCCGCTGGAAAACACGCACCCTTCAGCGCTCGCCCTGGCACGGGACTGAGTCTGCGCAACGTGGCTGTACATTCTGGCCAAGGACGTTGGTTGGTGTTGTGACTTAGTCCCTACTTAGCGAGAGCAGTGTGAAACCATGCCGGTGCCAACCGCGAGGCGTCCCGGTCACCCAGACAGGGTGTGGTGGCCTTCTTACACCGCTGTGCACTGAACTACGAGGGCGTAATTATTAAGTGGCTCAGTGTCTTCTGCTGGGATATATGTGGTGGATGGTAATTTAAGCCTGAAACCACAATGGAGGAGGAACTGCTCCCCCGAGGCACGTGGCACAGGGTCCGGCTGTGGACAGTGTCTGCCACCGACACCTGTGCAGAGGGCAGGACTCCCCTGTGGGGGTCCCACAGGCCTGCGGGCCCGGGGTCTGCCCTCACCGTGGGGCGTGATCGCAGGAGCAGGGCCTGCCCAGCACCTGACCCCAGGACGCAGGTACCGAGACCCCCGGGCACAGAGGAAACCTGAGTCACTCTTGTTAAGAAAAAGGACGCTGCCCTGCCCGGCTGGAGCATCATCTCATGCACCCGAAGGCTGCGGGTTCGATCCCTGGTCAGGGCGCACACAGGAGGCCGCTGATCCACGTTTCCCTCTCTCCCCCCTCCCCGCCCTTTCCCCTTCTCAAGTCAGCACACACGTCCTCGGGCGAGGACTGAAAGCGGAACGAGAACACAGCTCTCCTGCTCTAGACGTCCTCCTCTAATGAGGACCCTGTGTTCTGGGCGGCTGTATGGATTGGTTTGTGCATTAGGTTTCAGGCATCACTGTACACTTGACCTTCAGTATTTGAAACACAAAGAACATAGAGATTTTCAATTCAGAGTCATGGGGACAGACCACGTGGGGTGACCACGGAGAACACCTGGGGCTCAGACTACAGGCTCCTGGGGAGGGCACTGCGCTTTGTTCCAAGTCCCAGGACCAGTCCCAATGTGTGCACACACCAACAACACGTATGTACTTTCCTGGGGCCTGGGGGGGCAAAGGTCAATTAGACAGAGAATCTGAAACCAATCTCAGCCGCCGTCTCTGCTGTGGCATCTTCTCGATGCGCAGACCTGCCTGTGCTGGCGGAGTGACAGCTTCCCAGGCAGCCTCCCCCTCACAACAGCCTCTGCCTTTTGGGGGAATTAAAGGTGACTCACAGCGCAAATGGAAAGAGCAAGTTTGAACAGCACGGGCCTGCCCACCTCCTGGGGGCCTGGAACCACACGGGAGGGCACTCGGCGGCTGCGGGCAGCCACGGGGACCGGCAGCAGAGACGCCTGGTCTGCCCCTCGGCCCACAGGAGACCCCAGGCTCACGGGGAGTTCTGCTCTGTGGCTGGTGCGGGTCTGAGCTGCATCTCTCTTCTGTAATCAGTGTGGCAACACAGAGCGACTGAAGTATTGAAAAGTCCTAAACAAGCTCAAACTGTGTCAGGTTCTGCCCACATTCTCTAAGGGTGCTTCCGACTGTGCGGAGGGTTGGAGCCGTTCCACATGCACGTGACAATGTCAACTGTTACTGCACAAGGCAAGTGAGTGCTCTCTCAGAATCTGATCCCTGAGCGTCTGGGGAGCCAGGCTGGGTTCATCCGTCAGGAGCAGATCCAGAACACTAATGCACGCTACCGAGATATACACTCCACAGTCACTCCCCGGACTGTTTCCCTGGTTGCTGCAAAATAAGGCGAAAGCTGAGTGCCTCCAACGGCAAAAGCAAGGGAGCTCCCTGGGCACCAGGCGGAGCAACAGGAGATCCGTGGAGCTGCAGCGGAGGGACTGCTCTGGGCTTACAGAGGAGCTTCTCCAACTCGACAGAGGGGAGAAAGGTGCGCACAGGTACTGCCAAACGTCACGTCAGCTACTCGGTGTGTTAATGAGGGTGTCACACAGGGCTCCCCCCTCCACCAGGGGCTCTGAGAGCTGCACAGGACGGGATGGAGGCCACAGCACGCTGCCCAGGGCCACACCCATGCGGTCGTCTCAGGTCTGTCCTGGCAGCATGACCACACACGTGTGCACATGGATACACACACACACACACACACACACGAGAGTGACCGTTTCCAAGACCCTGGTGCCTTCCTCTGCCAGAGTGTGAACCATAGTCGTGATGTTGTGGAAGAGACAGTTTATTTAACGTGACGTCACACAGCAGAAACGACACAGAGACACTTACTTGTATTGGAACACTTACTTCTCTTGTGCTGTCTTTATGGACGTAGATCCATTTCTCACGATAAAAACCTGGAATAAAAATTAACTTTGTTTCTAAAATCTGGGGAATCATTTCGAAATGTAGTTTCCAGGAACTTAAAATAGCTGCTCGTGTTAGCAAAAGTATCTGATGTGTAGATGGGAGATGCTTCCACTTGACTAATGGGGAACAGAACCGCTCTGTCCCCCAGCGTCACTTTGGGAGGGTCTGAAGCACATCTGTGCCTGGAAAATGATTCTAGACAGCACCAGCTCTTGGTAGAAACTTAGAAGAACTTAGAAGAAAATTACTGTTACTGACAACTGCAACAATATCATACCATCATTATAAAGATACAGTTACTAATACATTATGTAGCTTATAAAAAGTTCTATTCTTCCGTCATTGCCTTTATACTGTATTCAATTTAAATCAATTGTTTTCACGGAATGCGAGGACCACGATGACTAGTCCCCTCCGGACCCCACCCTCCTCACCCACCTGCGCACAGGAGAGCATGTCCCCTGCCTCACGGGGGGGCCCCGGTGCAGGGCGAGGCCTCGCATGTGGAGCGTGGGGGTCCGGCCTCCAGCCTGGCACCCCACCCAGGGCCTAGCCCACCTGCGACCGTGTCTGTGTCCTTCTCCCAACACCAGCATCTCCTGCACAAAAGTCCAAAGTCAAGACGCCTCAGCCTTGGCTTCCCAGCGTGGGAAATGACTGTGGCCCGGTTCAGGCATTCCGATGCACGGGCTCTTCTGTGGGTTTGCCGTCTTTCGTGTTTGCGAGTCTTAGTAAGACAGCGGTGGAGCTGCGGCTGTCTCAGTAAGACTGAGCGTGCCTCCGGGTCTGTGGGCAGCCTGGGCGGGGCCTGCCATCACGCCACCACACGTATCACGCCACCACACGTCTGCGCCCTCTTCCCTGAGCTTGCACAGCACCGAGCAGGCCCACACATTCACGTCAACAGCACGAAATTATTAATGAAAGTGAGCTTACACTGAGCGCCACCGTCCTTCCTAAAGTGGCCTTTTTTCCTTTTTTTGGATGCACACCCATGCTCTTCATTAGTGAATATCTCTTTGTCTTCACTGTTCAAGATTCTGAAATAAAGATACAGGCTATTTAAATGTTTTTATAGGGAGATCTTCATTTGGCTTTTCTTTTTAAAAAACAATCATAAATATTTGGTTTGTAATTTAGGAGATCGAAATAAAAGTCATGTTAAATTCAGAAAGTAAGCAGTTATTCTTCAAAGCAACACATTGCAGTTTGACACTACACAGCCAATGTCTAATACATTTTTTCTTTGTTTCAAGAAACCTACGATCCTGGTTTTTCTGAGAATGTTTTGCTAGAAATGGCTGAACATGTTGCAGAGTGTCCCAAGGGTTCTGATATGTTCACCAAGGCTGTTTCCGACTTCAAATGCTTCATTAAAACAGGAGATTACATTATACTGTAAACTCCTTGGAAAAAATTAATGTGACGACATGACCTTGGGTACCAATGATGTGCCATATCCCTGCCACAGTGCTGAGTAAGCAGCATCGGCCTTAAACGCCACCACAGGCCAGATGGAAAACAGTAGTTTTCCACACAAAAGCAAGAGTATGCGCGTTCTTTTCCAGTGCACGTGGAACATTTTCTGGGACAAATCATATGTTAGGCCACAAAAAGTGTCTTTAAAATATGAAGTTTGAGCCCCAGCCTGTGTGGCTCCGTTGGCTGGGTTCAACCCCTCCATCTGTGCGTTGGACTCTGGTCGGGCACACACCTGGGTTGCAGGTTCCGCCCCCAGGGTGTGTGCAGAGGGCAGCCTACTGTTCTTTCTGTCTCACATCGACGTCTCTCTCCATCTCTTTCTCCCTCCCTTTTCCTCTCTCTAAAGCAAACAAACAAACAACAACAAACAGCTTGCCCTGGACCCTGAATCAGGGAGACAAATTTGAGTCTCTTCTCGTGTCTCCCCGCAGACAGACTTCACAATAGAAGCCTTCTCTTTTCTCAAAAGCTGGTGCCACAGTGTGGGCTTCTGGGAGCACGGGGCAGCGAGACCTTGCTCGGTAACAAATGCTGCACCTGAGGGTGGGCACCAGGCTCCCCACCAGCCCACACTTTAACTACATGACTTCGCTCCTCACAGCAGCCTGTGTGAGCAGAGCCTCAGCCAGAACCCAGGTCACAGAGCCGGGCAGCCACCTGAGAGACAGGTGGACCCGTGAACACCAAGCCCTTCTGGGAGCGGCTCTGCTTCGCTGCGACTCACATGCTGTGACTGAGGTCACGCTGGTCTGTCTCACGGGCCAGCTCCGCGCTCCAGGACTCACACCTCTTCCAGCCGTCCTCCGTTTTCATCCAGGTCCACCCAGGAGACCGCCAGTCTTGACCCAAAAACGGCATAGTTCTCCTGGAAAAACCATTGGTTTGTGTTAAAAAAACTTGTGTAATCAGCGAGTTCCTTCCACTCAGCACACTTACTCATTCATGTTTAAGGGCTCACAAACAGTGAGTTCTCGATGAACATTTAAAAGTCTGCACAGGCCATGGCCTATTAGTCGCATGCCCACAGCAGACTTGGCATATCTCACTAATGTGGGAGATTTATAGAGGAGACACCAAAGTGTTCAAATGCCACCTCCCGACTCTATTTCGCATGACTGGTGAAGGCTCCTGCACAGCCATCCACAAAGGCTCAGGGCAGACAGACACCTTCTGGAGGACTCTCCGTCTTCGGCCACGTTCCTGGCTCTTGCACAGGGTCGGGTCCCTGAGCCGGTGTGCAACGCGCGTGGTGAAGAGGTTGTCCTTCGTACCGAGAGAATCTCGAGGCCGTGTAATTCATAATCACATATTCACGTTTTCAGTCACACATTAAATTCTTGCTTTTGAAGGCGCTTAAAAGTCATTCCTTAAATCTTTAAAAACATATATTTTGATTATGCTATGATAGTTGTCTCATTCCCCCCTTTGGTCCCCTCCACCCAGCACCCGCCTCCCACCATCATTCCTTCCCCTTAGTTCATGTCCATGGGTTGTACATGTAAGTTCTACAGCTTCTATATTTCTTACACTCTTCTTAACTTCCCCCTATTTTGTACTGACCATTTATGCTTATTTCCTGTATCTTTTCTCCATTTTCCCTTCTCCTCCTCCCTGCTGATAACCCTCCATGTGATCTCCATTTCTGTGATTCTGTTCCTGTTCTAGTTCTTTGCTTAGTTCATTTTTATTTTTGTTTCTGTTTTTTTTTTTAGGTTCAGCTGTTGATAGTTGTGTTTGTTGTTATTTTACTGTATTTTTTATCTTCTATTTCTTAGGATAAGTCCCTTTCACATTTCATATAATATGAGCTTGGTGATAATAAAGGAGTTAACTCCTTTAACCTGACCTTATCTGGGAAGCACTTTATATGTCCTTCCATTCTAAATGACAGCCGTGCTGGACAGAGTGGTCTTGGATGTAGGCCCTTGTCTTTCCTGAGGTGGATACTTCTTTCCAGCATCTTCTTGCCTGTAAGGTTTCTTATGAGAAGTCAGCTGACAGTCTGATGGGAACTCCTTTGCAGATAACTGTCTCCTTTTCTCTTGCTGCTTTTAAGATTCTCTCCTTAAATTTAATCTCGGCTAATGTAATTATGATGTGCCTTGATGTGTGCTTCCTTGGGTCCAGCAATTTTGGGACTTTCTGAGTTTCCTGGACTTCCTGGAAGTCTATGTATTTCCTTTGACTGGTTAGAGAAGTTCTGATCATACACACTCCGACACTGCGTGATACACGGACACTATGTGACAACACACTCAGACAATTCTGACACATGCACATTGTATTCAGCTGTGCACACACTGTGTCCTCACCACTTCACACACGGACATACAGGCCTCACAAGCAAACCCATTTACACAGTTTCCACTGCAAAGAGTCAGCCTGGTATTACCAGTAAGACAATCAGTTCTTTTACAAGCACTAAAACTCTACAGATGCTGCATTTTGACTCTGAAAACTCTTCAGAAATGAGTATATTTCGGCTGCTAAGTGTCTATTTCCATGGACTGGAAAGAGAAAAATGTAGCTAAATGGACCTTGGAAATAAAAACAGTACATTTCCAAGGTTTTTATTTTCAACAAAGGAAAAAATGTGTTTATATATATATATATATATATATATATATATATATATATATATATATATTTAGATTGTTATTTATTTATTCTTAGAGAGGCGAAGGAAGAGAGGGAGAGAAACAGCAGTGTGTGGGTGCCTCTCACATGCCCCCATAGGGACCTGGCCCGCAACCCAGGCATGTGCCTTGACTGGGAATTAAACCAGTGACCCTTGGGTTCTCAGGCCAGCACTCAATCCACCGAGCCACACCAGCCAGGGCTCAACAGAGGAAAGTATTTATTTCACTACAGATGTGTGTGTTCCATAGATTTGTCATGTTATGCTGTTTGGATTACAATAAAGTCTTACTTTAAAGTATAATCTCATATAGATCATGAACTAAAAATAAAGAGCACAGCCTCCATAAGCAGTTATTATAAACAATAACAAAATAGCCAATGGGATGGGTGAGGGGGATGAAGATAGACTGCAATTTTAAAGGCCTGGGTCTCAAATTTTCAAAAATAATCCCAATCAGAGGCACCTAACTTAGCAAATCAGTAAACATCACTGAACTTTTACAATGATGCTGGCCCTTCACTTTTTGAGAATTTCTGTATCTGTTCTGCCAAAGACCTGAATTACTGGGGTTTTATACAGTCAATTACAATTGCCTTTGTTTTCAGAATTTCAAAATGAAAATAAAAACTAGAAATCACTCTTGCTAATTAAGTGTGTAAGAGCAATTACTCAAAGGGCGGCTACTCAGTCATGATACAGCTGGTTAAACCTGCGATTTTATACCCAGTTTATGGCAACTGGTGTGAGAGAGCAACGGGGGCCGAACTGAAGCAGATCTCCTCTTACTATGTTTTAGGGGCTGAACACAGGGGGGTCTGCAGGACTGGACCCTGCACCGTTCCGCGCCCGGGGAGGTCCCTGACTTGTGAGTCAGACTAAAGAGCAGTGTCTTTCGTTCACAAGCACACTTTCTGTTAGCTAATGCTAATCACAGCAAACATCTTTACATCTTAGCTGTGGGTCAGGTGTCACTCTGAACAACGTCCTCATATGAGCTCATTTATGCCTCACTGCAAGGTGGGAATGTTCTCAGCCCCGATTTGCAGGGCTGATTCTCCATTTATAGAAGAAACGGAGGCAAGAGAGTCTGGTGGAGCTGGCAATCCAAGGTCAATGCCCTGTTGCTGTGTTTTTGTAACAGGGACTCCTGAGCACCCTATGAAACAGGTGCCATAAAATTGCAGAGGATTTTTTTACTTTATTAACCTTATATTGCATATATCAACAGGAAGGATCTAAAGTAATAACTGATTTAAATATAAAACCACTAATACAAGAAAGACCTGACAAGAAGAAGCATAACTAATACATTTTAAAAAACCACATGTATTTTGCTATTTGTATTGAAGTTGGATGGAAAGGGAATGGAGTAGACAGTTTATAGCAGTTATCAAACTGTAAGAACTGTAAGTGCTGACCAAGAGCTGGTGCTATAAATACACTATGAAAAATAAGAACAAAAGGTTACAACGACAGTAACAGTAAGGCACCTTCAGGGAAAAAAACTGGCATAGGAGTTTTCCCCCCTTGTTTGTTATTTTTCATTACACATGTTGAGAAAATAATTTTCATTGTTCTGAAAATGACTGGCCCTCAACTGGATAAGCATTTGACTTCTGTTACTGCTTTGTTTTCCTTATAAGATTTCCAAGTAACTTGGTTTCAAACGTGACTATGGATTATAGGAGTCGAAGACTGATCTGGAAAGAACACCAAGAACTGCTGAATGGAGGGCTGATGATCAAAGCGGGGTTCACCACAACGAGACCTGAGATCACCCCCAATGCTTCAAGGAAAAGAGAGCACCGAGAGAAGGATAGGAATGGAATGTGAAGCAATAAAAGGAAAGGTGCGTTTTCCGATTGGGGCGGAATGTAAGGGTTTGGAGGAAAAGCGGGCTTCCAGGGAAGAAACGACACTCCAGAAGCCCGAGTTTGCACAAGCCGACCAGGGCCTGGGAGGACGGGTCCACACCGAGCTCATCGTGCGGGGGACGCACAACGCAGAAACATCCATGCGGGACCACACGGAGAGGACAGAGGAAGCCGGGCCTCCTGGCGCCGAGCAGACGGGGTCCAAGGGTCCCTGGACAGGGCCACCCTGCAGGGACACTCGGCCCGCGGGTACCCGGTGCGCCGAGGGCGGGGGGCGGGTCGAGCACGCTCAAGGGTCCCCATGGGGCGCACCCACGGTCCTGTCCCCCAAAGAAGCGCGCGCCTGGGTTGCCTTGCCCTCTCCCTACCTGCGCACCAAACGTCCCAGTCCCCGCAAGGAGCGCGGACCACCTCGGTGCCGCTGTGTTGGCGCGTCCGGGTTTATTGCCGGAAGTCGCTGCAGAAAGCTCCGCCCCAGAGGCATTGATTGGCTGGTGCTGCCAGTGTGACCAAGAGATACCCGAGTCCCGGGACATGCGTAGTGGGCTCTCACCCCTTCCCGGCCCTCCGTGCGAGCTGGTCCCCGAGGGCCGGGTCCTGTGGCTGCCCTTCCCGTTCCCCGTGCGTGTTCACAACCCCAGAGCACCGGGATCCTGGTGGCCCTCGGCCTGCAGCCGGATGCAGAGGCCAACCTGCTGGCGCTTCCGACCACAGCCCTGACACCCAGAAACCACCGGAATTTCGGAGGTGGCCCTGAGGTTTGCTCTCAGCCCTCCTGTGCACCCGGTTATCTCTTAGACGTGGGTTTCAGGCCCAAGTGCTATTTACAAGCAATTCAGAATATTGTTTAGCTCGTTCTAGATGGTGGCAAGTGTTCTCGAGACGGGCTTCAGCCTGTGGGTGTTTCCTCAAGTAGGAGAAAAGCCCGTGGGGGCGGCGGGGGCAGGTCCCTGACTCCTGCTGCAGAAGCAGGGGCAGGTTGGTGGTCGGAGTCCGCGCTGCAAACCAACTGCAGGGCTGGACCCAGGAATGGCTGCTTTGCCTCTTTTTTCCTCCGAGATGAGATGACGTGGGGATGGCAGTAGAGAGGCAGGACACAGCATGGGAAGAACTGTGAAGACCGGGTCTGCTGTTCCTGGTCACCAGTCTAGCGTCCTGGTTGCCAGCAAACGCCTCTTCACTTTTAGGGAGAATGAATAGCAAACCAAGGCTGGGAGGAGGAGGGAGGCATGTCTCACCTGCTAACTCAGCAGCCCTGAGCCTGGTCCTGTAATACTGCCAGGTGTTCTAGCAACACAAGTTACAACGTGTTAGCAAGAAAGGAGGGAAGTCCTTGAAATTCCATGTAGCATTCCCACTGTCTGGGAAAGAACGCCTTGAAACTTTGCTTTCATCCCAAGGCCTGAAAGTTAGGAGAGGGTCCCCAGTGCCCAAAGCAAAAAGCCCATAAATAACTTTGGGTGACTGCTCCAACTTTAATTAACTGCCTCCTGTCACGTATCTGTTTTACAACAAGATGAACAAATGGGTCTAGAGCAAGATAAGGATTTGAGCTAACAGACCCCCCCCCCACATACCTAACTTTGGATAGTCATGCCCCCCCCTCCCACAAAAGCTGGCACCACATCTACTTGTCAATCAATATGTAACTTTTTTATTCCCATCCCGCCTACTATGTAAGTGCTTGGAGCAAAGGACTCGCTGCCTTGGCTCTCAGGCCACACGGGGGCTTGCTCCCCCCACCCCAGCCTTCAGCTGTCCTTACTGGAGCTGCTCTGCTGTGCCCTGAAGCTCTGCCTTTCACCCCACCCACCTGAGCTAGTCCCACTGTCTTCCGTGGGAACAGATCACTAATAAAACTGATTGCACATCAATAGATTTGCTGATCTGTAATTCTTTACAGGCATCAGTAGGAAGAACCAGGTCTCTCCCGCCAATAGTGGTCCATACTGCACAGGATTTCTCCAAAGATTAAATGAGGTGATGTGCTTATTACGATAGTAACAACTATATGCTTTAACCTCCTGTATGCTTTCAAATTAAAAGTTGTTTGGCCTGAAGTCAGCAGTTCCTCTCTACTGGAACTAGAGCCCGACCGGGGGGCAGTGGGGCCCCTGAGCTTCGGTCTTGTGCCTGAAAGTGAAGGTGATGGTGTGTACTGGAAAGGCTGTTGGAATGTTAAATGTGTCAACATGTGTTTCCATTTGTTCAGCAAACATTCTTAATCTTTCTTGCATGTTTTAGGCAGCGAGCTCATCTACATGTAAGAAGTTAGGCTACCAACAATCCTGCTTATAGACATATTTACCTTGATACAAACAACCCAGCCTGGCCTGGTAGCTCATCCTGATACACCAGAGGCACAGGTTTGATCCCCAGTTGGGGCGTGTACAGGAACCAACCAATGATGTTTCAGCAGGTGGGGCACCAAATTGATGTCTCTGTCTCTCTCTCTTCCCCCTCCCTCACCTTTTTACTCTCTTTAAAATGAACAAATAAAAAATGTCTGAAACTACAAACAACCCAGCACATTCCACTCTGAGATATTTTTTTAATTTTTATTTTATTGATTATGCCATTACAGTTGTTCTATTCCCCCCTTCATCCCCCTCCACCCTGCACCCCCCCACCTGACCATTCCTCCCCTTTAGTTTATGACCATGTGTCTCAAGTTCTTTGGATTCTATATTTCCCATACTATTCTTGCCCCCCATCTATTTTCTATCTACTGTCTATGCTACTTATTTTCTGTACCTTCTCCCCCCTTCTCTTCCCACTCCTCTGTTGCTAACACTCCATGAGATCTTAATTTCTATGATTCTGCTCCTGATCTAGCTGTCCTTTTAGCTTGCTTTTGTTTTAGATGTGGTTGTTAATAACTGTGAGTTTGCTGTCCTTTCACTGTTCATATTTTTTATCTTTTTCTTAGACAAGTCCCTTTAACATTTCATATAATAAGGGCTTGGTGATGATGAACTCCTTGAATTTGATCTTATCTGAGAAGCACTTTATCTGTCCTTCCATTCTAAATGAAAGTTTTGCTGGATAGAGCAATCTTGGTTGTAGGTCTTTGGATTTCATGACTTGGAATACCTCTTTCCAGCCCCTTCTTGCCTGTAAGGTCTCTTTTGAGAAATCCGCTGACAGTCTGATGGGAACTCCTTTGTAGGTGACAGTCTCCTTATCTCTTGCTGCTTCTAGGATTCTCTCCTTCATTTTAATCTTGGCTAATGTAATGATGATGTGCCTCAGTGTGTTTCTTCTTAGGTCCAACTTCTTTGGGACTCTCTGAGCTTCCTGGATTTCCTGGAAGTCTATTTCCTTTGCCAGCTTGGGGAAATTCTCCTTTATTATTTGTTCAAATAAGTTTTCCACTGGTGGCTGTGCCTTTCCCCCTTCTGGTACTTCTATAATTCGAATGTTGGAACGTTTAAAGATGTCCTAGAGGTTCCTAAGAGTCTCCTCATTTTTTTGAATTCTTGCTTCTTGACTCTTTTCTGTTTGGCCATTATTTGCTTTCTTCTGGTCCACTCCATTGATCTGAGTCCCAGTTTCCTTTTCATCGCTATTGGTTTCCTGTGCAATTCCATTCATTTCAATTAGTTTCGCCTTCATATGTTTGTCTAATTTGTGACTATAATTAACTAGTTCTGTGAGGATCCTGATGACCAGTGTTTTAAACTGTGCGTCTGAGAGTTTTGCTATTTCTTCATTGCTTAGATTTATAGGCTCTGGGGCTTTGAGATCTTCTTGAGCCATTTTTGGTCTGTTCGTGCCCTTTAAGTGTGAGGAGCAGAGCCTTGGACTCCCAGGTCGCTGGGTTGTGACTCTGTATGTGGAGGCGGGGTCAGAGCGGGGAAATGGCGGCCCCCTCTGCTGTTTCTTGCAGCTGGGTGAAGAGCGGAGCCATAGGTTGTTCACCGGGGCAGGGCCACTTAGGTCGCTGGATTATGATGCTGTATGTAGAGGCGGGGTTAGAGTGGGGAAATGGCGGCACCCTCCACTGCCACTTGCCGCTGGGGCTGCTGGCTCTCGTCCAATCGCCCACTCCCTGGCTTGTCTATCCACACACGAATGGGCGACCACAGTCAACCCGCAGCCCTGCTCCCTCACTGCTTCCCCGAGGTCGCTCGCTGAGTTGCCCACCAGGTCCAACCCTGCGCCTGGATTCCGCGCGCCTGAGTTCGTCTGACTGAGTTTTCTTGTGCAACCCCGCTCTGCTAGCTGCTGGTTTTGCCCCTCTTACTGGCCAGGCTGAAGAATTTGTTGTTATCAGACTTCCAAAAAGTTCAATTTTCTGTGTTCTGACTGTGTTTTCTGTTGCTATTATTTAGTTGTCTCTAAACTTGGTTGTGTGAGGAAGCACGGCGTCTCCACCTATACCTCCATCTTGGCGGAGGTCTGTGGTGGTCATTTTCAAGAATTACACCTCAGTTTAGATCAGGAGGAAAAGTGGTTGATTCCCGTGGAATATCAATGGTTTTTGATGGCAGTGGTATTTACAGTCATTAGAAAATGTCTAAATATCAGCACTGTCCAATTACCTTGTAACTGGTTTGCAGGTTAAGAGCAAAGGGAGTGATGAACATGTTTCATGTGATGTTTCTCGGAATTGGCTTTGTGGTGGACCAGCAGCAGGCTTTGACAAGTTACAGGCACACTTGGAAATCTTTTGTAATTTGCTTTGTCTGTTGCAGCTTCCTTAAACAATGAGAAAAGTAATGTTATTTCAGTATTCTCTACCATGGCGTAAATATAAAATAAAATATATAAATAAAATAGAAGTGTCATCATTTTGTGTATGTGGCCTTAAGGACATGTCTTGGGGCTCTTTTTCTCTTTTTTTCTCGATGTTTTTGACTCTTTTAGTTTCCTCATATGGGTACAAAACTGGTACATTTCTAGTTTCTGTTTCTAACATGCGTATTTCTGGGTGAAAATTTCTCAAGTTTTGGCATGTAGTGTGTTAAGCATATTTCAGTTAAAGTTATTTTGTATATCAAAGGGTGGTTCATTTTGGAGATTATTTAGGTGTCTGTTTCATAAATATCAAACAACAGAACTTCCTGTAGACCCACTTTCAGTGAATTCTACCTTCAGTGCTATGAGAGCAGAAAACACATTGTGTATGATTTTCACGCTGCAATGCTTGTTGAAGCCTGCTGTATCCTGGGTTGGCTAAAAAGTCAGTTCAGTCCCTCACCACCCCACCTTCACTCTCCCATCATGTGGACTCTGGTTCACGTACTTGTCTGTAACTTCATTTGAAACCCTTTGGTTAAACTGTATCATGACGGATGTACTATCAGCATGTATTTAAAAAAAGAGCTCATTAGAACTGTTGAGTGTGTGGCCATTTTCATATTGAAGATGGATGAATAGAAGTAATATTTTCAGTACATTCCACTGTGGCATATTAAGAGGGTTAAATGCCAGTTGAATGGAATACCAGATTTCCGCTGTTTAGGAGAAGGTGGTGTGATGGCTTGAACGTGTCAGAAGTGGTTTCTCACTGGAGATTTCTGGTCTGAGGGTTCCCCACGTGTTGGATGGACCAGTCACAGTAGATAGTCATCCAGTCCAGGTGTTCATCAAGGAGAGACCACATTATGCCAAGGATACAGGTGACATACTAAAAAAAATCCTAAGCAAGCATCGAAAATCATTTCCACCAGTGTGGTTACAGTCATCGCTTTGATGTTTGGGTTCACAGAAGTAAAGGGGGGAGGAGGCGGGATCCCTGCCTGACCACATTTCCACATCAGATTGTCTGCTGATACGTAAGAAAAATGTTGTGTTTCCAAGACATTGTGGACAGGGGGACGAATCATTGATGTTTGACATTAACATGGAACAGGAGAGACTGTGGGCACATGAAGGGAACCACCAGCAGCCACTCCCACCTGTGGTCTGCACTCAAAGAAGGTGATGCTGTGGATATGGTGGGATCACTAGGGAGTCTTGTACTAGGAACTCCTTGCCAGAGACCAGGAGGTTACTTCCAAAGTTCTGCTCCCCATTGGACCAATGGAAGTCACTGGCCCAGGGACACAGTCCTGAATTTGTCAGCAGAAGATGTGTAAGCAATCATCCATCAGGAAAAGGCAAGAGAGTATGTTTCTCTTTGGTGACCAGGGGAAAACAGTTCCAGTCTGGCTGGGCAGTCCTGATTCATCTACAGTACACATAAGATGTTGTATCCTTGGAATGCCAGGTATTTCCGCTGCCTTTTCTAAATTCTTTTAGTGGAGAAAAATTTCCAGTCCGTGGAAGACTGCAAAAGGCACCTGGAAGAGTTCTGTGCTCCAAAAGATAACAATGTTGTGGGCAGATGGAATGGTGAAGTGGGCCGAATGATAGCAGAGGACAATGGAAGTAAACTATGAAATTGCTGTCCAGTCACATTGTCTAGAAAAATGAAAAAAATGAGCCTGTCATTGCATCTTACTGGAAAACCTGAAGGAACCTTGTGGCCAAGCCCATAGTACAATATATGTTCCAAGTGTCTGTCTTTGCTGCCACCTCGTGGCCGTTTTGGGGAAGGACATGATCAGAAAAAGTGGTTGATTCCGGTGGTATTTACAAGTGCACGTGGAAACATCTAAATGTCAGGACTACACAGTTACCTTGTGACTCGTCTTCAGAGTAATGGCCAAGGGAGGAATAAGCGTGTTTTATGGGATGTTTCTTGGAAGTGGCTTTGTAACATAATAGAGGCAGGTTTTCACAAGTGCCAATTGTGCTTGAAAGTCGTTTGTAATTTGCTTTGTCTGTTCTAGCTTCCTAAAACAATGTGAAGGTAAAATTTATATATAATGCTACTACAAGAAATACAAAAACAGCAAAGTGAAATACCAGCGTCATCATTGTATGTACCCACCATTTGGAACATGTCTGAGGGTTCGTTTGTTCCCTTTCCCTGGACTTCGTCTACTATTTTAGGTTCCTCATACGGGTGCAGAACATGTGCATTTCCAGGGTCTGTTTCTAAGCTGTGCATTCAAAGGTGAAGATTTCTTTTTTCGCTTGTTTGTTTTTAAATTTTTTTTATTTAGTTATTTTTCAAGTACAGTTTTCTGTTTATTTCTCCCATCCCAGCCCACCCTATTTTACCTTTTTTTTCTCTTTTTTTTTAAAGGTGAAGATTTCTTTCTCAAGTTTCATTATGAAGCATCTTTACCAGCACTCAGGTCCAGTTACTTTGTAATTCCAATGGCAGTTTATTTTAGAGGTTCTGTAGGAATTTATTTCAGAAGTACCACACCACAGAACTTTCTAGTCATCCATTCTCAGTGAATGCTAGCTTAAGTGCTATGAGGGCAAAAACATACTCTATAGAATTTTGAGGCCACGATGCTGGTTGAATCTTGCTGTAAGTGGGGCTGGTAGAAATGTCAGTTTTTAAAATGTCTAAATGTAAGGAGTGCCCAGTTACCTTGTGACTGGTTTTCACATTAGGGAAAGGAAGCAATAAATGTGTTTTATGTGCCATTTGTTGGAACTAGCTTTATAGTGTAATAGAGTCTGGTTTTTAGAAGATCCAGGTGTGAAAAGCACATTTATAATGTGCTTTGTTTGTTGCAGCTTCCTTAAACAATAAAGAAAGTAACATCTATTTAAAATGAATTTTTACCCAAGAGGTTAAAAAATAAAACGCTATTATTTTATACATAAAAATCAAACGATCTGGCCAAGCAACTGATACATCTTAAATGTGCACCTCTGCTGCCATCTCGTGGGACATTTGGGAATAATATCTTAGTACAGGACAGCAGGAAAAGTGGTTGATTATAGTGGAATATCAACAGATAAATCAAAAAATAAATCAATCAACTGTTGATTTTTTTTAAAAGACTGTTTCGAGGTACAAGTCTCAGGCTCCAATTTCAGTGACCAGTTCCCTGGAACCACTTTTTATGAGCACATCATCTGGACCAGACATCGGACTCAGAGGTTCACCCTTGGTTCTTTGATTATGTCTTTAAATTATTCTTTGTACATATAAAAGATATTTATTTCTGCATGTTATTTACCACACTAAGTTGTGGTTGTACTATTTACTAAGTTGTACTATTTATGATACCTTTAGGTTGATATTCATGAGTTGTCGAGATAAATAAGATATCGTGCAATAATAAAATTACATTAGTTTAGCTGTATAAGGCATGAAAAATAGAGCTTGGAATAAAACATGAGGATATGAAGAGTTAAAAATGTGCTAGTTATAATTTCATTAATAATTAGATAAAATAGTAACATGCTTCTTAGCATCATAAATGAGTTCAGGGCCTGGAGCAGTGGTGTTCTAGAAATGAGAAGTATTTTGTAGGCCCTGGCTGGTGTAGCTCAGTGGATTGAGCATGGGCCTGCGAACCATACAATCGAGGTTCGATTCCCAGTCAGGGCACATGCCTGGGTTGCAGGCCGGTTCCCTGCAGGCCAGTTCCCAGCAGGGGATGCACGAAAGGCAACCATACATTGATGTTTCTCTCCCTTTCTCCTTCCCTTCCCCTCTAAAGATAAATAAATTAATTAAAAAAAAAAGAAGTCAGGAAAATGGAGACTTTTACAGGATTTAAGAGCTGTTAATGTTACTATGGAAGATATGGGGGCCCTTCAACCTGGGCTCCCCTCCCCTGTTGCTATACCAAAAGGATATTCAATAATAGTAATTGACCTTCAAGACTGTTTTTTTTTACGATTCCATTAAGTCAAGCAGACAGGAAACGATTTGCTTTTAGTTTACCCTCTCCTAATTTACAAAGACCTTATCAAAGGTACCAATGGAAAGTTTTACCTCAAGGGATGAAAAACAGTCTGACCTTGTGTCAGAAATTTGTTGACACTGCCCTTCTTAAATTTAGACAATGTTATAGTCAAATTTATTGTATCCATTATATAGATAATATCCTGATAGCAGGGGCTGATTTACTATTATTAAGAAAAGCTCTATTAGATTTAATTGAAATGCTGCAAGATGCAGGGCTCACTGTTGCTCCTGACAAGATTCAAGAAAATCCTCCATTTAGTTATTTAGGTAGAGTCATAGATCCCCCAACTATTACTTCCCCAAAATTGGAAATTCGAAGAGACTGTTTGAAGACTCTTAATGATTTTCAAAAGGTACTAGGAGACATTAACTGGATAAGGCCTTTTTTTAAATTAACAACTGAGGAGCTATCGCCCCTCTTTAATATTTTAAGGGGTGATAGTCAGCCTAAATCCCCCAGACATCTTACTCCTGAAGCAGAAGAAGCTCTCGCAAAAGTAGATCAGGCATTGACTAATGCAAAGTTGTCTCAGGTAGATTATAATAAATCTTGGAGTCTTATTATTCTGAAAACTATATATTCTCCCACCGCCTGTCTCTGGCAAGAAGCACCCTTAGAGTGGATTCATTTGTCTGTGACCCCTAAGAAAAACTTGCCATCATATCCATACCTGGTTGCACAATTGATTTGGCTAGGAAGACAGAGAAGTAAGACTCTATTTGGAAGAGATGTCCATAATATCATTGTCCCTTATACTAGACAACAATGTGACCAATTATATCAGTTGGAAGATCAATGGGCAATCTCACTCAGTAATTTTGCAGGGAACATTGATTACCATTTGCCAAAAGACCCCCTTCTCCATTTTTGTAAAGAAGTGTCTATTATTTTTCCTCATTTATGCAAAAGCTCACCTTTTGCCCCGCCAGTGGTTAACATTTTTACTGATGGCTCAGCCAATGGAAGGGCTGCAATTATTGTAGAAGGTCAAGAAATAGTTCAAGAGACACAGGAAACCTCAGCTCAAAGGGCAGAGTTGGCTGCGGTCATTCTCGCCTTCTAAAAGGTGCCAGATAGATTTAATTTGTACACGGACTCATACTATATTAAAAGTTTATTTCCTGCTATAGAGACTGCCTTTATCTCATCTCAGTTCCTCTATCCATGAAAAACTGAAATTGTTACAAAAGCTTATTAAAAAACGAGGAAACCCCTTCTATATTGGTCATATTAGAGGGCATTCAAACCTGCCAGGCCCCTTAAGTCAAGGAAATGACAGAGCAGAGAAATTAACACAAAAGATTGTTGCTGTTGCTCTCCAAGAAGCACAGACTTCCCATGCATTGCATCATCAGAATGCTACTGCTCTAAGGTTACAATTTCGTCTGAGTAGAGAGCAGGCCAGGCAAATAGTGAGAGAATGCTCTTCGTGTGTGACACACATCCCGGCTCAATCTGAAGGTGTTAATCCGAGGGGGCTAAAACCTAACTCTATTTGGCAAATGGATGTTACCCACATCCCTGAGTTTGGCAAACTGTGTTAAGTTCATGTAATAATAGATACTTATTCTCATGTGATCTTTGCCACTGCTAGAACAGGAGAAGCAGTGAAAGATGTCATTCAACATGTAATTCAAGCCTTTGCTTATATAGGTCAACCAGCAGAAATAACAACTGATAATGCTCCCACATATACTGCAAAATCATTTAAAGATTTTTGCAACAAATTTCAAATTTCTCATAAAACAGGAATCCCTTATAACCCCCAAGGGCAAGGGATTGTTGAAAGAGCCCATCAAACCCTTAAAATTCAAACTGAAAAATTAAAGACTGGAGATAAGCAATCTCATCTGTCTCCTCATCACATTTTAAATCATGCCTTATTCGTCATTAATCGTTTGAATGCTAATGAACAAGGTTTAACCCCAATGATGAGACATTGGGGAGTTCAAAATGTGCCTAAAGAATGGGTAAAATGGAAAGACTCCATTACGGAAGAATGGAAAGGACCTGATATTTTATTAACAAGGGGGCGAGGATACGCCTGTGTTTTTCCACAGGACGCAGAAGTACCCGTATGGATCCCGGAAAGACTCATCCGGAGGGATAAAGAAGCGA